GGGGTGCTATACTTCATGGATTGGTGGGCGAATGTTCCTCGGGAATGTCTTCCACGTCGCTCTCTTCAGCCAGGCGGAGTGTATGCTCGATCAGGGCCAGATCCGCGTCGAGATCTGCCAGCGTGTCGTCCAACTCACTGAAGTTAGGCACTTCCTTCCTCGTTTTGTCGAGTAGCTTTTGCAAAGAGTCGCTCTCTTTGGTTACTGCTTTCGTCTCCTTCCGCAACTCATCCTCCTGCTTTGCCAGTGCTTTGGCATTTGAATGGATGTTTTTCGCCCGAGCCTGGAGTTCAGTGTCAATGCTTGCGCCAACAGCACTGAGAGCGGCCTTGAATGCGTCTTTTGCTTCGGCGGTCCGTTGTGTCGATGACGCAGAGGACACTTGCGACGAAGGGGGCACCGACTGCGATTGCGACTGCGACTGCGGCTGCGATGCTGCGGACATTGTGACTATAAGGTGCGTCAGATCCCATTGTTGCTTCCGGATCTTATGCTGGAGAACCTTTGGCTTGCCAGCACCGTCACTCGAACGACGCCAGGCGGTGAAGAGGCAGATGTGTAATGGCGATCCTGGACTGCTGTTTAGTACTGCAAGGCGTTACCTACCAGGTATGTGGTACCAGCAGTACTGTTGAAGCCAAGATGCATACAGGGAAGACGTCTTCGGGCTAAACACGCCTACCATTTGCTACTATCTCAGGTTGCAAGGCCAGTGGTGCCAGACGCGCCAAGGATTATCGTTCTTACAAAAAATGTAGGTACGGAGTATATTGTACGGAGTACGTACTTACAATTACTTCAATTACAAGTTGTTCTTGCCGTACAGAGCACCACTACAGGAGTAGTATGCTATACGAAGAGATCACCGGTAGCTACCTATCTTCACCGACTACTTTCACTAGCAGACTGTACTGAGTGGGTGTCTTGATGCGCAATTAAACTCGAACGAGAATTAAAAAACATGTCCCACGGTCAAAACAGGAGCAAGAATCTATAAGAGATATCCGAAATCTAAATCATGTCGTATGACAGCCAAAGAGTCGCAGAATGAGGTGTGCAAGAGGCACGTACAACTCGAACTATTCTGCTGCACTTCTGCAGTATAGGTCTTGTCGGTCGGCACCTGGACAGGCGCGAGATGCCGGCCCTTTGGGAGCACCATGGGTTTCATATTGTCCACGGCAAGCCAAGTCGGTGCATCTCAACAGCAAGCTGGAATAAATAGTCCAGGCTCTCGCACTGGGTTTTGGCTTTGGCCACCGTTTCGCCCCAAACGTAACTAGACATGTCAGCAATCAAGATATCCAGAGCGGGAAAGGTACGAACATTCCATGTCGCCGAACCAGCACGGCGTAGGTGTCTGGATACTGCTCCATCGCCTTCTCCAAGCTTTCAGTCAAGTCCTCCTCAAACGGCGTGTTCTCAATGATCGGCACACGCAGTGTGTCATGGAACCCAAGCATTCCCTTTCCAGGCCCTTTCGGGATCCCCTTGATCTGCTCAATGTTGCTGATCTCAAAACACGCCTCCTTGCCAAACGTCTTCTCAACCAGGAGAGTCACCAGAACACACCACTGGGAATGAGAGTGGATGCAGCAACCGGCCCCTCGTTCGAAGGCAGCAAGGAAGAGTGGCGTGCAAGCAGACGGCTTCAGCTCATAAGGCTTCCGTATGTACTGTCGTGCAGATGGCGGATACTTGGGAGTTGGGTAGGAAAGGACAAACATGTCGTCGGGCTTGATAAGCTCTTTCTGCACGCCCGAGGGAGCAATGTAGACATGTTCGTCTTTCCGGATGCTAGTGCCGCCTCCAGTTCCAGTGACCCATCCTTGAATGGAGTTAGTTTTCGTAACACGCATTGTCAACCTACCATCTTACCGAGACTATAGAACTGTTTGCACAGTCTAGGAATCAGGTTTGCAGGATGGTCCGGATCATCGGACTGGACCAGATGATCGTTGTTGGTCTCCGCCATGTTACACGCCGCAAAAGGGGTCGGGGCGCTGCTGGGACTTCAATCCAGCTGTCACTTGACCCGGATGATCTGAAGGCGCTCTATGCAGTAATAGAGGCGACGACCTGCACCAAAAAAGACCGATGATAGCAACCATCAATCCTGCACCTGCAACCGCAGCGAAAAAAAGAAGACGCCATCAGCGCACGTGATACCGCCCTTTTCACCTGCGGTCCTGCGGTCCCTGCGGTTGCACGTGGGCTCCCCCAACCCCGCCTTGGAACGCAGCGGCAGAAGACTTACCTACAATGGACTAGTACTGCTCCTAGCCGTACTCCGTGCTATCAAGTTTAGCGTGACATCTGGCTCCTGCGGTGGAGCATCCAGTAAAGGACACCTTTGGGCTTTCTCTGACCTTCGACTTGTGAAATATATCCTCGATTGAGTGGACATCTCCTCGTCTCTTGCATTCTCTCAACTCGTGTCTTTTCTTCTGCCAACCGTCACCATATTGTTGTCATACCTGGTGTGTGCCCGTCATGCGCTTCAACGCGGCCATTGCCCCGGCTCTCTGTGCCTCGGTCCTCCTCGCTGGCAGCACCCTCGCACAGGAGGACAGTGAGCCATCAGCCACTGTGGTTGAGCGGCCAACTTTCACTGTAAGTTGTGCATACATCACCCCAGGCTGTCTGCAATAACTAACGGCCTGGTAGCCCACAAACCTGAAAGCCCCCTTTCTAGAGCAGTTCACCGATGACTGGGACACACGGTGGACACCATCTCACGCCAAAAAGCAAGACTCCAAGAGCGACGAGGACTGGGCCTACGTTGGAGAGTGGTCGGTGGAAGAACCATCCGTCTTCCCCGCCATTGTAGGTGACAAGGCGTTGGTGGTGAAGAATGCTGCTGCGCATCATGCTATCTCCGCCAAGTTCCCTGCGGTCATCAACAACAAGGGAAAGACGTTGGTCGTTCAGTATGAGGTCAAGCTCCAAAACGGCCTCGAGTGCGGAGGTGCCTATATGAAACTCCTACGGGAAAACAAGAAACTACATGCTGAGGAGTTCTCTAACGCCTCGCCGTATGTTATCATGTTCGGTCCTGACAAGTGCGGAGCGACAAACAAGGTGAGTTCGATTGAGTGTAGATGCTCTTGTGTAGTGCGCTCACAATTCCCAGGTCCACTTCATCTTCCAACACAAGAATCCCAAGACTGGCGAATACGAAGAGAAGCACCTCAAGAGCCCTCCCCAGGCAAAGATCACCAAACTTACCACTCTTTATACTCTCATCGTCAAACCAGACAACACCTTCGAACTGTTGATCGACAACACGTCGGTGAAGAACGGAAGCTTGCTGGAAGATTTCTCCCCCGCCGTTAATCCTGCCAAGGAGATTGATGATCCAAAAGACAAGAAGCCCGACGACTGGGTCGAGCTTGCCCGCATTCCTGACCCTGAAGCTAAGAAACCTGAGGATTGGGATGAGGACCAGCCTTTCGAGGTCGTTGATGAGGAGGCCGAGAAGCCCGATGACTGGCTTGAGGACGAGCCCGCAACTATCCCCGACCCTGAAGCCGAAAAGCCAGAAGACTGGGATGACGAAGAAGATGGTGATTGGATTCCTCCTCAGGTCCCGAACCCCAAATGTGAAGAGGTGTCAGGCTGTGGAAAGTGGGAACCTCCATTGAAGAAAAACCCCTTGTACAAGGGCAAGTGGACTGCGCCGTATATCGACAACCCAGACTACAAGGGGCCATGGGAACCGCGCAAGATCCCCAACCCAGACTATTTCGAGGACAAGACGCCCGCCAACTTTGAACCTATCGGAGCAGTACGTCTTCTCGTCCGGTTCTCGTGAGACACTCGCTAACTTGTTTAGATCGGCTTCGAGATTTGGACCATGCAATCGGACATCTCATTCGACAACATCTACATCGGGCACTCCATTGAGGAGGCTGCGGCTTTCCGAGCCGAGACCTACGACATCAAGCGACCAATCGAGGAGGCCGAAGAAGCCAAGACGAAGCCCAAGACACCAGAGACACCCAAGTCCCCCTCGGATCTCAAATTTGCCGATGATCCTGTCACCTTTGTCAAGGAGAAGCTGGAATTGTTCGTCACTCTTGCCCAGAAAGACCCCATTGAGGCCATCAAGTTCATGCCCGAGGTCGCTGGTGGGATCGGCGGAGTTGTCGCCCTGCTCATCGCCATCGTTGTCGGTCTGTCTGGCCTGGGTGGCTCGGCGGCTCCAAGCAAGGAAGACATCAAGAAAAGCGCTCAAAAGGCCAAGGATGCCGCCACTGATGCAAAGGACAAGGTTGCTGAGGCTGTGGCAAGTGGCGCCGATGCGGTCAAGGCTGATGTCAACAAGAGAACCACTCGATCAAGCGGCAGCGCGGAGTAACTCCTGCATAATTCGCGGCCTCTTGACGGGTGGTCAAGCGAGATCTGGCCGATGCAACACCGCACTATGGTGGCAGGACGTGTAGCAATTTGAAAAGTGCTTTTAGAAAGCCTTGTACAACCAAGGACGGGGAAATGGCACCAGGAATGAGCTTGCCGGAAATTATTTAGTACACCATCCTCACTACTACTTGGCCCATTCAATGGCTGGTGCGTAGCTGGCCAGGAGACTGGTCTTGTTAGGTATGACTTTCATGCAGCGGCGCAATACCATTTCAGATTCTGTTTGTCATGATTACAGTATTCCCGCGATACTTCTGGGTAGATTTCACGACCTCAGGCACAGGGCCTTTTGATCCGGATTGAGTCCATCTGAAGGTTCAGAACAGGCCCAAACTCGCTTATACAATTTTGCTCATATCAGGACTTGACAGCCATTGGAATTCCCCTTGGTTCTGAGAATTCCACCCACCAGCTTTTGCTCATTAAACAGCCAACCGTCAATCCCAGCCTTCTTTGTCCGTAGTTTCCTTCCCCTTGGGCCTGGGACTCACGAATGCGTGGGCATGGCGACCTGTTTCTCTGTCGCCACCGCATCCTCGGCGCGCCACAGACTGGTGACGGTCTTCCATTGAGTGTAGAATCTGAGACCATCCTTGCCGTAGAAGTTGGAAACACCGGTTCCGGCCACACTCTTCTTGTTGCCGGTGAAGCTGAACATGGGCAACGGGACCGGGATGGGCACGTTGATACCGATCTGGCCGGCCTCGAGCTCCTTCTGGAACAGTGATGCCGTGGGGCCAGAGCGGGTGAAGACGGCAGCGCCGTTGCCATATTGGTTCGCGTTGATCAGAGAAATGGCCTCTTCGGTAGTGTCCACATTCAAGCAGACGAGGACGGGGCCAAAGATCTCTTCCGTGTAGCATTTCATGTGAGGCTTGACATTGGTAATGATGGTTGGGCCAACCTGGAGTACAGTTAGCTGCGATTTCCTCGGCGGGAAAAGAGGGGTCGGGGGATCAACTTACCCAGTTGCCATTAGGATACTTTGCGGGCTTCTGGCCTCGGCCATCCAGCAGGATGGTGGCGCCTTCGTCGGCAGCGCTCTGAATCAAGTCCTCAACACGCTGCTTGCTCTGAGGGCTGATCAAGGGGCCAAGATCAGCACCCTCCTCGAAGCCACCGTCGAGGCGCAGGTTCTTTGCGCGTTCGGCCAACTCGGGAAGCCATTCCTTGGTTTCCCCAATCATGACCAGTGTGCTGAGGGCCATGCAACGCTGACCTGCAGCACCAAAAGCAGCACCGGCAATGGCGTTGAGTGCGTGATTCTTGTTGCAGTCAGGGAGGACAGCGGCGTGGTTCTTTGCGCCAAGGTTTGCCTGGACACGTTTTCCTTGTGCCGAGCCTCGAGTATAGATGTATTCGCCAGCACGGTTCGAGCCCACGAAGGAGATGGCCTTGATGGCTGGCTCATCAATGATAAAGTCGACCGTCTTGGCCGCACCGTGGACGATATTGACGACGCCTTCGGGGAAACCCGCCTCTTTGCAGAGTTCGGCGATGATCATGGTCGCACCAGGGTCCCGTTCACTAGGCTTCAAGATCAAAGTATTGCCGGTGACAGTGGCCAGGGGAACACTCCAAAGAGGGATCATGGCGGGGAAGTTGAAGGGGCAGATGGAGGCCACCACGCCCAGAGGCTCACGGTATGAACGAGTTTCCATATCTTTGGCTACTTCAATGACCTCTCCTGGGATCTGTGTGGTGATGCCGCATGCGGTCTCGCAGACTTGCAGACCACGGAGCACATCACCCTTCGCATCTGCAAAGGTTTTGCCTTGCTCAAGTGTGATGGAAGCCGCCAATCGGTCCATGTTCTGTCGGACCAGATGAGTCAAGCGGAAGATGATTTGTTGTCTCGTCATGATCGAGGTGGCTCGCCATTTGGGGAACGCCTTCTCTGCGGACTCGACGGCCGCCTTCAATTCGGCGTCGGTAGTCTGGGGGACCCGAGTGACGAGGTTATTCGTGGCTGGGTCGTGGAGGTCGATCCATGTTGTGGCATTGGAAGGCACGAACTGGTTATCGATGAAGTTGGGCGTGTCGACGACATTGGTGATTTGCTCGTGGTTTCTGGGGTAGTCGGCGACTGCGGCGCTGGCAGCAGCGAGCTGGCGGGTCGTGGCATGTAGGCGTCGCTTTGCAACGATCTGGGCCGGCGACGTCCTGAGCGCGGCGGAAGCGAACTGAGGCGCTCGTCTGCCCGACAGGGCGGGGACGGCACGAAGAAGCGAGCGGCGCGAGGCCATCATAGCTGGAGGGGAGAGGTGGGAGGCAAGCTACGAGATGGGAGTCGACGAGTCGTCGATGGAATCTCGAGAGGAGCGGTCGTTGTACAGGAATATAAAAGAAAAAAACCAGGCACGCCCACCTCCGCTCATAGTCATTGCTTTGCCATAGCCGACCCGTGGGAGGAGTTCGAGCAGCGAGGGTCGCGCGCGGCGCTCGAGATATTGCCGCCGCCCGAGGTCAGATGGGGATGCTCCGATTGGCTGGCCTGCCCTCCGCAGACGGCGAGGGGAGAAGACCGAGATACAGGCCACCTACAGGGCGCTCTCTGTCCACGGGCCAGTTGCCCCAGATTATTCAACTGCCAAATACTTGCCTAGTATGGCAGGCTGACGGGTATCACCGGGCAGCCCGAGAGCTTAGGGACCTGACTCGCTGGCGATATAAGTACTCGTACCGGATCGCTGTCTGTTCGACTACCTAAGGTACATACCAACCGCCTGGCGTCGAGTGCCGGCGTCTCGGAACCTACTCTGTAGTACATAGTAGGTACTACTACTATCTGCATGTCTTGTCCCCCTACTCGTAGGCCAGCGCCTCGTCAACATCATCATCATCATCCGCCGCCTCTGCCTTGCCTTGGTAATCATACACCAGTCGGGCTCTCTGCACCTTCCCGCCCTTCCACACCACCACTCGCCGTGTGTATCTCCGCTCGCCCTTGATCTCCTCGAAGCCCCAGGTCTGCTCGGCAATCCAGTCTCCGCCGTCGACATTCTTGACCCAGCTCTGCACGTGTTCGTCGTCGAGGAATTTGGAGTCTGTCTGGCCATCCTTGAGCTTCTCGGCTCGCAGGAACGCAGCATCCTCTTCCGAGGCAGGGCCTTCGATGACAAGGCTGCCCGTTTGCCACAATCGTGACCTCCCTTGAACTTTCCCAAAGATTCTGTCGGCATGATCCCTAAGTTGCCAATCAAGCGTACGATTTTCTTGGGTAGTTGAAAGGCCCGAGGCCACCGACGTAATGTCAATGTGGTAGAAAGAGTCTTCCTTGTATTCTTTGACCGTGAGCTGCTGCTGGTCAGTGGGGTGTAGTGGGGTGTTGCGAGGTATGGATAAGCTTGACGTACGACAACCGTAGCCAGGCTGATGGCCTTGCGGGTGAACCAACTCAGACCCTGGAGGGTAAGCATGGCGTCGACGTCGTCTGATAGCGACTTGCTCTAGTGGCCGGTCAGAGCAAGGTCCTTGGCGCGCTGGGCTGGAAACTCACCATAATAAACTTGCCGGACAGGTTAGTGCAAGTGATTTCTGGTGGTGCAGCCATGGCGGGAGGTGGCTACGGCGTACTGTATCTTTCTGACTGGGCGAGACGCTGAGGTTGGAAGTCTGAAGTCTGAATTGGAGAGGGACGGGGAGGGAATAGAGAGGGAAACAAATAAGGAGAGGGGGAGAGGCCACGAAGGCAAGCTGATCTGGAGGATGGGATACAAGGACTCACATGGTACCTAGGTAGGCGCAGCAAGTACATACAGTACGACGTCAATAATGCGAGCGGGCAGTAGTCGTATGGACAGCTGTAGTAGTGTGCACAGTATCCATCCCCATCACCATCCCAACTGGCCAGCATGTGCAGTCCGCCAGTGCCAGTGCCAGTACCAGCACCAGCACTGCTACTGCTACTGCTATTCCTGTCACCACTAATTTAGGTAGGTACTATACCTCTGGGTACTATACGGGCGGGGAGCTGTATTATGTGCACCTTACAGAATAAGTTTAAGGCTTAGGAGGCCCCTAAGCCTCCCGAGGTCAGTTCAACTACCAGCCAAGCTATGGGCTCTCCCCAATAGGTGCGCTACAGTATGTGCTGCACCTACCTACCCGCCTTTCCACGATGTCAGCTCAGGGTTATATCTCTGCCCACCCGTCACCCGTCCGCGTCAAGGATGAGGTATTAACGATGGGCCGGTGCCTTATCATCGAATCATGGCGCCAGCCAGCATGTATTCCTATGCCTCGTCACTGAGCGACAGACAGACTGCAGCCTGCGCAGGCGGAGCCGGAGCCGGTATCCAAGGAAAGAGAAGACTCGCTCCTGGTAGCAGCAAGCTCGAAGCATTGAAAGATACCATTATAAAGATTCCTCTCTTTCTCGAAGACTCTGGATATCATAGCAATCAATTCGGAAGGACATCTATAGTATACATTTACTACATGTCCTATGGTAGTCTGGTAGTATAGTACCTGAGTTATAATAGGTCCTGTAACTGTCGAGCCGCCCTCCAACAGCGTGTGCCAGTCAGTGTTTCCTGTTTCCAGGAATCCTCCATCAAACTGTATACAGTTCAGTCGTGGCAGTGACATTGTGCTCTGAGATTCTACTACTCGGCCCCCCGATGGTATATCGCAAGCGCAGGACTGCGGGCGGAAGCAAAGGAATGATAGACATGATATTTCTCTGATCTTGGGAACTAGACTAACTGTTCACACCTATGGGATGCTAACAGAGATAGGACTAGAGTGCCCATCCGTCGCATAGAATAAATGGTCCAGAAACAGGCTGGTATTCTAGTGGGCAGCCTGATTTCGGTCACCACTCAGGTCGTCAGCAAAGCTTGCAAATTGAGATATCCTTGATGGGGGTGACATAGCGCATTCTGCCGCATCCAGGGCCTTGAGATTTCGCACATTGGCTGATCCCAAGCAGCATAAGCAAGCGCCACTTTACGCCGACTTCTCTTCAGACTGCTCACGAGATTCCGGGTACTCATCGGAATCGAATTTGTACAGTTGCGGTGGAGTGAGCCCCTTGCGCCGAAGCACCGTCGTCTTAAACCAATACGGCGCGACCTGGGAGGTCTGGTAATGCATATGGGTCCGGGTCGGCACAGCAAAGACGTAGTCCAACTCTTCAAGAGTCCGCTGCTTGGTTTCTGGGAGCCAGAGGAAGATCATGACGAATGCAATGGCATTCAGACCGGCGTAGAATCCGAACGCACCTTGAGGCGTCAATGCTTGAAGCATCCGTGGGAAAGTGAGAGAAAGAACCGAAGCCCAGAAGTTGTTGGTCGCCACCGCCCATGACATGCCAACCTCCCGATGAGATAGAGGGAAGACCTCGGCAGAGTAGGTGAACGGAACCGGACCTTCTCCGGGCGAGTAAAAGGCATCGAACAGGAAGATGAAGAACGCAATGAGGCCGAGGTGGGCATCACTGCCCGACGGGATCCAGAAACAAAAGCCTGCCGCCAGGAGAGTCCAGCACATATTGGGAAATGTGAAGAGCAACAAGGCTCGTCTTCCAAAAGTGTCGATCGTCCATACAGCAGGCCAGGCGAAGACGAAGTTGACCAGGCCAAACCCCCATGAAGCGAGAAGAGCCCCGGTCACGCTAGCACCTGCATTTGCAAAGACCGTCGACGAGTAAAAGGAGATGATGTTGATCCCGCACATTTGCTGAGCAATCATGACAATGCCGGATGCCTGCGTGGCACGTCGGATGCGAGGGATGGTGAAAAGTTCGATGAATCGGGTAAAGAAATTACCACGGGCGGCGACACCTGACTCCTCGACAAGGATGTCCTCCTGGACCAGCTGCGCGTGGATATAATACAGATCTCGAGCAGCTTGCAGAGGCGTGTTCCGGAGACGGAGCAACGCTTTATAAGCCTTAAAGTGCTTCCCTTTCTTCATGAGCCAACGAGGAGACTACGACAGGTTAGTTGGGGCCCGAGCCAGACAGTAGCGTCGCACAAACCTCGGGGCAGAAATATATCCCAATCACCAAGGGAATGGCGGGGATGAAGGCTGAACCCAACTGCAATCTCCAGGCAATGCGGCCGGTGTTTTTGACGGCCAGGTTTGCACAAGTGCCGAGGAAGATGCCAAAGGCGGTCCAGACTTGCCAGGACATGACGAGGCCTCCACGAATGTTGGTGGGCGAGTTTTCTGCCGAGAAAACGGGCACAGTGACTTCCTTCAAGCCCATACCAATTCCGAGGAGAACACGAGTTGCCGCGAGCTGGCCCCAGTGCTGAGTGCATGCTGAGCCGATGGGGGAGAGCAGCGAAAAGATGGCGCCAATGAAAATGGTGCCACGACGGCCGACCAGATCATTGATAGGATCAGAAATCCATCCAGCACTACAGATGTCAGCACAGACGGCGTCCGAGTTGGGCAGTGTCGACGACGTACAAGAAGGCGATCGCAATATACGGGCAAGAGTTGATGAACCCAATCAGCCATGAATTGCTCTCGCAGTTGCCCTTGGCTTCGCAGACGGGGCCAGAGTCCGGGATGCCGAACGCGACCGGAAACGTCAAGTTGGCCCCATTGGAGCCTGTTTGGTCCCAGCCTTGTATAGCTGCGGCGATGGAGTTCAGGATGATTGTGAAATAGAGGGTTTTCGGGTGCCTCCAGCGGTGAGTGACTTCTTCGCGGAGGGTCTGGCGCTCTGTCTCATCCAACTCGGGAATGTGTTCAATGGCATGGGGGCTCTGAGCAACCAACGCTGCCTTGCGGAGAAGGGGTAGAACGTCGGTGAGTTGGTTTTCATTGGCAAACATCTCGACGTCCTGCAGCAGCTGCTCCCGTGGGATGCCCACAAGAGGATTGCGAACCCTTTACAGTCGGTTAATCAGGTGAGAAGTGGCGCAGTCTAACATCATGGACTCACTCTCCCGTGCTGTTTGAAGTCAGTTGGGCGATACTAGCTTTCCTCTTAGACTCGTCAGCGAAGAGGACGCTCTGCCGCCTACTCTCCGTTGCGATAGCATCCTTAAGGGTCGACATGGTCGCAGTCACTGTTGGGATGCGTGGTGGGATCAGCCTAGTTGAATCGGAGAGGTAGGAGGAGGCGGGGGTGCGAGCGAAAGGGTTGAAGCGATCTGAAGAACTGTTGTCTCAGAGGGAGGCAGGGTTTGCAGGGTTGGTTCAAGGTACCATCGAATTGATTGCATCAGCCCGGGTTGACCGCCCGTTATATGTATTGACGAGCGGGGTCCTCTTCAGTCAAGATGCGCTATAGCAAATGTACCTGTCAGCATGTGAAGGACGGACACAGTTGGCATTCGACCTTAGCCTCGAGCAGGGGTGCGACTGGTGAATGCTGATTCTGGCCTGAGTGGCAGGTGTCACGCGACAACGCAGGGCGTGGTCGGACTGGGCGACAAGGTCCGGACGGAGTACTGTACAACTCCTTCCTGAGGCATGGGTCGACGAGAGGATGCGGTGACCAGCATTAGCTCGACCAAAGGGACGAATGGCTAAGCAGAGGTGTTGGGCATGGAGGCCTCCTAAGCCTGCGACGTTGCAACTGACTTTAGCGTCAAGTCCCCCGCCTTCGATGTCTGCTGCCATCATGTCAGCGGCGTACAATGGCGACGGCGACGGCGACGACGCAGACGAGTAGGAGGAGAGGGAGGGGAGGGAGGAGGAGGAGGAAGATGATGGCTGTCCGGGGTCCGGGGTACAGTACTAGTACTTCCTATACTAGTACGCTGGCCAAATGCCTGTCAGCCCATCCACGCCGTGGTCAGCCCTCCAGAATGTCACCCTACCAACTCCCTACCTGGCTCACCATTTCGATCTCATGCAGCTAGCAGCCCGATGCTGTCGCCCTTTGACTGATCTCAGCCTGTGCGCTCGATTCCCCGTCCAGCCGCCCACCAGATGGCTGCATCGAGTTCGGCGTCTACAACCCGAGGCACAGACTGCGCCTCTGCCCAACAGTTCGCCTGAACCCCTGCTCACGGCAGACTGCTCGACGTCGACATCGACGCCGATGCCAGCTCTGGAGGTCATGATAGGCTCGTGGGGCGCCCTCTTACAAATTGCTTGCACGGGGATAGTCGCAGTCTTGGTAGAGCTTGGGCAGCCGAGACCACACGACCTTATGACTCTGTGCTAATACCTTAGGCACTACTAGCGTGGTCAATCCTCCGCCTTTTCCTCTATCGATCCGGGGTCACAGCAGCCAGCCCATACCCAGCCACCAAAAGGAGGCTAAGAAGGCCGAGAACGAGGACTTAGGCTGGCCGATGCTTGGAGTGATGACATCTCATGGCACTGAAGATTGCCCTCATGGGCAATCTAGTGAGAACACAATACTCCGTACACAATCCAAGTGATATGGGCTCCCCCGCCAGGGTCAACATGGTCAAGAGAGGAAGATACATATTTTCTGACCTGACAATAACCTAGAGGACTCCCCAAAACATATCACTGGCTATGGCGACAATTGGAGCCGCATGAGCGTCTGATAGACCTGTCTTATGCTCAGAGGCGATCTAAGCACGATCTGTTTTGAGCCACCTGCCGACACTCGGCGAGAACAGACACTGCTATGTCGATGCCAAAAGGGGTAACCCCGTACACATGTGCGTGTGTGTATACATTTCTTCAGCCTGATGGTGATGTCTTCTACTCATACCAAGCACATGGTGTTGCATCCCCTCGGTGAGTCCTAAAACTGCAACAGAACAGAAGAGGGAATCTTGATAGTGTTGTCCTCCAGCCCCTGATGCTGGTGACTCTTCATTGTGGTGAACTGCTGACAATTGCCCATGGACAATACACTCCACATATACTCCACACGTCTGGCTCTGCCGGCCGTGGCCTTTTGAATACACGGCCATCGACACCGGCCAGATTTGCCGCCGCCTTTCCTGGCCGACGTGGACACGCCGTGCGCATTTGTAAGACGGCGAATATAGCCGTGGCACTGTTGTCTATATAACTGTGTTCAGAATCTCTGGTTCAGCCCAGGAGACACTTGCACCTCTGAATCCTCCTACTCCTACGTCCTACTATTATTTCGACAGACAATTTCGACCAAAAAACACAGCCAAAATGCCTGCCAAACAAACAGTGGTACTCATCTCCGGCGCCAACTCGGGCATTGGGCTTGCTGTGGCGAACCAGCTTGCCCGAGACCATGGATACCATGTCATCGTCGGGGCACGAAACGCTGCTGCCGGAGAGAAAGTGGCTGCTGCCCTCGTGGCGGACGGATATTCAGCCTCCTCCGTCCAGCTTGACGTCACCTCAGACGAGTCGATTGAAGCAGCGGTCCAACAGATCACGCGCGAGTTCGGAGTCCTGGACGTGCTGATCAACAATGCGGGCACCCTACTGGATGTCAGCGACCATGGCATGTCGATGCGAGAACTCTTCAACCATACTTACAACACCAACGTCACTGGCGCCGCCTGCCTGACCGAGGCATGCATCCCACTCCTGCGCAAAGCCGAGCTTCCGCGCGTCGTCTTTGTCTCGTCGCGCATGGGCTCCATCTCCGAAGCGTCGGACAAGTCGAAGCCTTACTATAGCACCGACTACAAGACATACGATGCCAGCAAGGCCGCCCTCAACATGGTGGCTCTCAACTACAACCGGATCCTCGAAGATAGCGGTGCGCGGGTGAATGCAGTGTGCCCCGGGTTGGTCAAGACCAAGCTCACGGGAAATCATCCGATGGGATCATCGACAGAATTGGGAGCACAGCGAATCGTCGAAGTAGCCACTGCCGGAAAGGGAAGCCCTACAGGGACTTTCTCGGATCGAGGCGGTAACATTCCTTGGTAGCTGGACGGCTTGAGACTTGAGAGTGTGTAGGCCGAATTGCTGGAATCGAGCGGGCAAGGCCCAGGCTAGACAGTTGCTTCATTCATAACATAGTACCGACCAGATTCAATAGAGAACCCAGATTATCGATGCCGGCGTTCCAGAGATCCAGCTTCCGTATATTGGACGGCATGTAAGGAGCCTGCTGTACATCGAGCAGATCGCCTAGAGTCACCATGCCGCTATGGTGAAAAATGCGGCTCCCCTTATACTCTGCTTCCCAGGCAGACTGCGTGGGCGCCTCCCAGAGAGATTTGGAACTAGGAAGCGGGAGGGATCGATAGCTCTGCGAGGCATCGCAGCTGACCCCGTTTTTAACACACACGGCACAGCTCATGAGGAACCATAGATTCGTAAGCCTACATCCACGGTTTCGATCAGTAAAGAGTTCTATCAGACCATGGGCAACAGGTAGAGCAGAGAGCCAGATAGCCAGGCCTGAAGCACCACAAGGCGTACGTACCTTCGCCGAGATTCGGCAAAAATCCAGTCTTCCCAGGTCAAACTTGGGCTAGAAAGCTCGTTCCCACAGGCGTGTCCGCCGCACATGCTCTTGAACGAAATGTAGAGGTCCTTCCTCCCGGTCAGCGAGCTAGAACCCCTGCGAGAGGACGGGGACGAGAGTGGGGCGGGGACTTACATGTAATGCGTGCAGAAACTCGAGGCGGTGTTCTTCGGCTTCGCGCGAAGAGTCGACGATGATCATGGTCAAATACACCATGGAAGCTTGCATTGTGGCCAGGGATTCGAAGATGGACATGTGGTGTATCTTGTGGATAGTAAGCATGCATTCGGATGACAGATTAGGTACTATACACACTTCGTCGGTAAAGCGACGGCACTCGATCTTGATGCTCCGCCAAAGAAAACGACTGGTTTCGGGGGTGCGTGAGGCAAACATCTGCGCAAGGCTCATGCAGGTCGCCAGTGCTTCGGGCAGAGCGCCTCTCGAGCCCTTCAACAGGAGTTGCGTCTGTGGATGGATGAACCAGGGAAACGTCTCTCTGCGGATCATCATGGCTGGAATTGATCGTAGCGACTGAATGATCAGGTCGGCGTTGTGTTGGGCATGAGGCTGCTCCATGTGAAGCACGTCGATGAGATCCGAGTTTACCCTCACCATGGAACTGGCCGTCACTGGCGAGAGAGAGACGCCACGGCGTATCCATCCACACCACGGCCAGACTTCCTGGGTCAGCATGGAGTCATGCGGAACCGCCGAGGCATCTGTCCAAAATTGGCCACGACCCCAAGTGTCAGTTTCGAACGTGGGCAGGTCGGTAACCCCCTTCAGCGAAGACCTCGGTCTGCTCAGTTCGACTGATAAGCCACCATCGCGGCTGGTGATCGGTAGCTGGGAGAAATCTACGATTGAATCGTCTGTAAAGCTGAGGTCTCCGCTGGACAATATCTCATCGTCCGCAGACCAGGTCGGATGAGCCCCATGACCAAGCGAGGCACTCAGCTGGCTGCTAGACGTTGCCCTCACTGTGAGGGGAGCCGCTGTTGATGGTCTGGCCGATGTCCGTCTACCCGCTGCCTCCGACCCCTCATACACACACCCGATGCCTTTCTTCGTGCACCGCGAACAAGGCTCTTCAAAGCTGCATTTGGTCTTGGCGGCATTACATGCCCGGCATGATCGTGGCCGCTTGCGGGTGCGACCGCCACAGTAGCGAAGATGTCTATCACGCGAGTATTCTGGCCAAAATGTCAGATCACGAGTGGTTTGATGCCCAGATGAGCAGGGGGTCTCACCGTTGGCGAAAGGTTTGTTGCAGAGAGAGCAAAAGTAAACAGCCGGTGGCGAAGAATCGGAGGACTCGATTGGCGAATGGGCAAACTCGGTGTCTCCCTGCATAGCTGTGTGTCTACACTGCCAGACTGCAAGAGAGTGTCCTGCAGTACGACTGTGTGTACTCCGTAAGATGCCAGGTGTGGGTGGTGGGATGATGGTTGAAGTCTGCAAGGCTGACGACTAATGCTCCAGCAAACCAGAGCCGCCGGTGGCGAGCCAGATTGGGCTTAGCTCCGGCAAATTTGGCCGGCTGAGTCATCTCCGTGATCTTGTGTACTCCGTACAGCCTTGCACATTGTTAAGGTACTCAGCTGCCGGTGGCGGTCTTGTGTTGTTTGTCCGTATTTGGAGGTTCATTGGGAGCCTTAGGGCCCTTACCTTACGTGCCTTATGTACATAATAATACGTACTATAGTCCGACCATGTTAGTGGTAGCAGCTCCTTGGATACTCCGTACGCCGTACGGAGGTACCTGCTACAGAGTGCTCGTGCTCGGTAGTACACCAAGATACCCGTCTTGGCATGGGCTTTCAGCGCATCCATCCGTGTAGTGCTCCGTATGATATTCGTACATCGTACTCCGTACTCTACTCTGTGAGGTCTGTACCCACTCGCGCCCTATGGAGTACAGAATAAGACTCTTCATTGACGGTTGATTGTTACTGACGACGACACATTTCATTTCTCCCATGCCAGCCTGCACTCCAGCCCGGACCTCACTCCCTCGTCTGACCTCCGTCTCACCTCGATCTGCTACACATCCCTATAGAAGGCCCCTCCTGCCCGCGATAGCAATCCGTCGACAGCATCCCCGTCTTTTTCAATCCTCTCACGCCGCCAAAATGTCGTCTGCATTGACTCCCGTCCTGACCAAGGACGCCTTTCCTCGTGAGTCACACACCCACACCCACACCCACACCCACCTGCGTCCGCCGCAAGCTCTGGCTCTTGTCCGAGCCTCTGCCAGCAACTGCACTTACTTGTACTGGTGGAAGTCTCTCGAAGCTGACCAAAATTTCTATTTCTGTCTGATTAGCTGCTGGTCCCTACAGTCAGGCCATCAAAGCCGCCGGCCAGATCTGGGTCGCCGGCCAGGTTCCTGCCGACAGCTCGGGAAAGGTGGTGACCGGTCCCATTGCGGACCAGACCGCCCAGTGCTGCAAGAACATCAAAGCTATCTTGGAGGCCGCGGGGAGCGAGCTGGGCAAGATTGTGAAAGTCAACGTGAGTTCTCAAGTTCCAGTTACAGTTCCAGCCTCGACCCATAACCCGACCTCTGCTTTTTAATCCTGGGGTCGAGGTGGAAAAGCCGCCGTCAGCTTGAAAAGTGCCCTTACCCTTGACGGCCGCACCTTGAGCCCTGTTTTCAACCGACCTCGATTTATAGGTAGTGTGCTCACGCCGTCTTGCCTGTTCTAGGTCTTCTTGACCGACATGAAGAACTTCCCGGATATGAACGTCGAGTACGCAAAATGGTTCACCCACAAGCCAGCAAGATCCTGTGTCGCCGTCCGAGAACTGCCCATGGGCGTCGATGTCGAGATCGAGGTCGTGGCCCTCCAGTGAACAAACATTAGCTGAAATTTGTCTATGTCGCTATAACAGGTAGCTTTGGAATAGATTAATTCAGAGGCTATCAACACCACCGTCAAGAGATCTCGCATCGCCTGTAGCCCTCTGTGGGCGTGCGTTGTACAGTCCAATGCTCGGTTCCAGAAAGTCGGACCGTTTTCTACAGCTTACTCTGAGCCTCCTCACCTTCGTGTTCTCCAAGTTCAACAATCACCTTGCCCCATGTGTCCCGTGCTCCAAGCGCAATCAAGGCAGCCGGCACACTCTCCAGCCCCTTATAGTGCTTGTCGGTATAGGTGACGCCCCGTAATTTACCCGAAGAGATGAGGTCAAAGATACCCTTCCACACTACCGTGACAGTTTCCTTCTCCTTGGTGTTGTACATGCCCCAGTGGATTCCGACAATGCTGATGTTCTTCAAAAGCACTCTGTTCAATGCGACCTTCTCGATGGCTCCGCCCGCGAAGCCGATCACGAGCAGCCGTCCATTCCAGGCTATGCACTTGATCGAGGGATCGATCACACCTATGTATGCGCCGGTCAGATGAGTCACAACCACTTCCTAATATGGGGCGGGGCAAATTTTACCGACTGGATCGTACACCACGTCCACGCCTTGCTTCCCGTTGCCTGTTCGGTGTTTCTCACAAAGTGCGATGACCTGTTGCGGCCAGTTCTTATCTCGGTAGTCGATCACATAGTCGGCCCCGTAGTCCAAACACACCTGCCTCTTGCGTTCTGACCCAGCGGTTGCAATCACCGTGGCCCCCAGCGCCTTGGCTATCTGCACCGCCGATAAGCCAACGCCGCCAGCACCGGCGTGCACGAGCACCCACTCCCCCGGCTGGGTTTTCGCTCGCACTACCAAGGCCCCGTATGCGGTAGGAGTGGTCACGTATAAACCAGCAGCATCTGCAAAACTCCAGCCCTGCGGAACGGGAAATAGCGAGTCTTCTGGGGCAAGTATGTGCGTGGCGTATGCTCCGTGAACCGCGCCAAACACCCTGTCGCCCACCTTGTACAAATGTTTTGTCGGCCCACTCACGGTGCCATCGATACTGCTCGCCACGGCGCTCTTACTGCCCTCGGTAGTGGTGGGGGTTGCAATCACGACCCCAGCGAATTCCATGCCTGCGATCCATGGTAGAGGCGGCTGATGCTGGTATTTGCCTTGGATTTGGAGGAGATCGAAGAAGTTCGTCGCAGAAGCGTAGATCCTGACCAGATATTTGGTAGGATGGGGAGATGGTGTCGGCAGGGTGGTCACAGAGAGATCTTGAGGCCCGGAGACATACTTGCTGACCTGTATGCCTTTCATCGTACCTGCGTTGTAGAAGAGGTAGAGGCACTCGCTGGGGTGAAGAAGCAAGCAACAACAGCACACAGAGGTCGGTCTATACTCACACACTTCGTTGAAAGCTACAGGGCCCAGGGTAATGCTGTACCTAATATCTCATGGCGGCCGGTTAATTGGCGGGATACATTGCCAGGCCGCGGTGAAGCCTCGGTTATGGTGCACCGAATCAGAAACAACACTTGAATCGGGCTAGACAAATCACGTGATACCGCACCGGCCGCACATTGTTCCGCGCCTGCAGCGCCCCCTCCGACACTCGGCTGATTGATCTTGGCTATTCTGTATTAGTCCTTGCTCGTTATTCTAGATCACCAGACTTTTTGCCTGCTGCCTTGCTCGATCCTAGGCCGAGTCACCCTTGAGCTTCCTGCCTTCCGTCCTCATGAACGTGTCCTCTTCCTCCGAAGACCGTCTGTCGTGTCTCGTCAAGTCTCTGATTGCTGGATTCGAAGACTTGCTCAACTGCATGCGAGCCCAGATCGTGAGGGAGAAAACGTTGAGGGATAAGGTCGAATTCGCTGCAAATGAGGTGAGTGTGTTTGTTTTAGCCATCCTTTCCCACCGTCTCTTTCCTTTCATGATGAGAATCTTCGTGATTAGCTCTAGATCAAGAGCTGCTTCTGCAGCGATGAGCGACATTTTGCATGTATTACCTGACTTCTGTTATCAATCCCATCTTATCCGTGTGCCAACTCTATGATCTTGAGAACTAACCCATTCTCAATCAGTACGAGAGGCTTCTAGCGGCTGATAGCAGTCATTCCGACTCCTCCGTCGCTCATAGTCTCGTCACAAAACAACTCCGTCAACTCCCTCCCGTCACCCTTGATTTCGAATCGTCTTCTCCAATCCGGCAGGCACAACTAGCGATATATAAGTACAAGATGACGAACGTGCACAAGCCCCAAGCGAATAGCGCCCGGTGTCCCATATCGCACAAGACCCAGGATCCGGAGGACCTAGAACGCGACTTCACCACCCCCGGTGTAGAAGGGAGATTAGGGTGTCCATTTGCGAAGATGTCCGATGGTCTTTCACCTGCTCCAGGCCAACAGGACCCCATAGCCGCTGAATTCCATCAAGATAAAGTCTCTACTGGATCGCCCAATACTGAACAGCGCCCCGGTCCGTGTCCCATCCGGTTTCTAGATCAACACTCCCCCGAGGAAGTTGCCCAGTATTTCGAGAACCATAAGCATGAAATCCCCCGGAGTCATGAGATTTGCGTCAGACGATATCAGCAAAATGGAGAGAGTGCCCGAAAGCTTGACGCCAAGTACGGCAGTCTGGTCAACATGATACAAGGACTCGGAGTCAAGCACAAGGCTTACTTGCCGGAAAGAGACAGGACCGAAGAGCAAGACAAAAGTTCAACCCATGCCGTTGAAAAGTGGGCGGAAAACGTGAGCAGTGATCAAACACCTGCGGTCGAAGAGCCCACTACTACCACAGACGATGAGCCAAGATTGTCACGTTTCGAGCAACCTTTCGAGCAACCGTTGCGAGAAATCCGTGTCGGTGAATCGCCTTCTCGGCCTTGGGGAATATCTGTCCCAGCGGGTAATCAGCCTTCTCCTAGTGTTTTACAGTCGGAGGACGGAATTCCTAATATGAAGGCGCGACCGGAAAGCCCACAAGGGGAGGGGAACAGAAGGGAGCGAAAATGCCCCTTCGACCACACCCAGGCAAAAGCGTCTGCGCCGACACCCCAGCCTCCGGACCGTGGCGAGTCCAAAGACATCCGGAGGGAGCCGACGCAGATCATTTTCAACGGGCCAGTTTTCTTTGGGTACACGGCTGAACAGGTGACTGCTTTGCTTCAGAACACCACCCTCGGAGGGGGTCTACCAGCTGCGCAGTCCTGACTCGAAGCTTTTTCTCAATGCGGACGTTCTGTTTCATTTTAATGTAGCGTTCGGAGCGAAATGGAGACACGATGTTATGACTTGGATAACCAATATGTGTATGTTTGTACTATCAATCAATGATGAAAATCAAAATTTTAGTCCTATCTGGAAATTTTGTAGGCACGCAAGGAGTCAACCTGTCCATGATAGCCGTCTGGCCAGGTTCCAAGTTGAACTATGAAGGTCCGTCTTTGTTCTTGCAACGGAAGTGTGAAATGTCCACCAGCTCTAGCACACAGACAGGCATGACGCGAATCTGAATACCATGACTTCGAGGCTATCGAAGAGCTTGTGGAGAGAGCAAGCAGCTGGAAAGTGACGTTGCGTTGATATTGAGGGATTTATTGAGGAGAATTTTATAGCTTACGGAGGATTTGCTAGGTTAGTAGTGGTGCATCACGACAAAGGCTTTGTTTCGATGGCGTTGTGAAAGGTTGGGATCAGAAAGACGTTGGAAACACCCGATGGAAAAAATGATATTGAGGCAACGCGAGCCGCTCTATACTCCACCGTACAACTACTTGGGATCACAGGCGCCCTCTGGAGGCAGGTTTGGACGCTTGGCGATTGGGCAATGGCCTGATCATCAGATTGACCTCCTCCAGGCTCACCTCTGTTTGGGAAGTCCGGACTTGAGCTCGTTGTCAAATCCCGCCCGCGCCATCGATGGAGGGCCTGTACACTTGCTTGAGATGTGCGAGAGCACTGTCTGGCTCGAGCCGACGACCGGTCAGCAGCAGATATGCACGACACATTCCCAGCAGCCGCAGTTTTACCTCGAGCTCCGCCCTCTACAACAACCCCCTCAAAGCTGGGAAGCCTTCCGCGACACTGCAAGCACGAACTCCCCGACAGTCCTCGCGAGTCGTGTCTACTGCTGCAGCGCCATCTGAAGAGCCAGACAATTTTGAGCGTCACAACATTCCGCCAACTGACTATGGCGAATGGCGTGCCCATGGGAGGGTCGTCCTTCAGCCAGGCAATTTATTCCACCCCTTCTCCAAATCACCGATTCCTGAAATCCGGCAGAGGGCACGATACATGAAGCAGCATGCTCTGTGTCCCCATCCTGTGCACCAGCAGACGAGGATTCCCATCTCTCCACACGATCCTGAGGCCCGAAAGGTCAGCGGGCTGAGTTCTCAACCGCCCGCCCATGTGGCTTTTGAGTGCCCCGACTGCGGTATCGCGACATACTGTTGTGAAGAACATTGGGCAGATGATTTTGAAGCACATCTTGAAATATGCGACACCCTGCGACAAATCAACGAAGATGACCATGATCTGCGCTCTGGCCGTTGGTTTCCTGAATTCGAATATCCCGGTCCTCAGATTGACGAGATACTGGTGAACCTGACCAATTGGGACACATATTTCTACACTCGGCAGTATGAGGCAATCAACGACGAAAGAAGTATGCGGCAGGTCACCAGATTGTTGACGTACCCCTTGACCCTTGGAAGTGTGCTGCATGAATTGAGTCCCTATAACATCAGAAAAGGTGGAAGGCTTACACCAGAGGGCTTGAAAAGTTTGACAGGCAAGTGCAGCGTCCCTCCTTTGGTTCCCGTAGCCGACTAACATTGAATAGCTCTGCGATATACCCTCCACCCACCCAAATCTGGCCAAGGGCCTGGTATCAAAGGCTTGAGGCTGTCGAGTCCGCCCGTCAGAATCTTCATCCTGGGCGCCCGTGCCGAATCCTCTCTACCACGTGAAGTCTGGACTCAGCTCTCATGTCTCTTCCCTCTCTCTTCCATTCACCTCGTTTTCATCGGCCCCGAATCCATGGCCAACCGAGACAGTGAATTTCCACTACCCGAACGGACGCCAACAAATCCATTTGGCGCCATTGTCGAAGACCGCGTGTCTCCCAAAATGAAGATCTCCACTTACGTGGAATACTTCCACACCTTACATGAGGCGAACTTGTTCTACCCTTACGATCCTTATTTCGATTGTTTCATGTTATACCATCCCGGTCTCGGCCATCCGGCATCTTCGCATGAGTGGGAGAAGACTTTGCCACGGTTGCTGGAGACCAAAGTACCCATTATATGCACGGGGTACACCGAGTGGGATATGATGCGTGACTGGCAATGGGTCATGGAGAAGTGTTCTGGAGAGGTCGACCTTCTGATGGAGCCTGGCGAGAACCGCTTCCGGTCGTTGAGGTGGGATTTGAATGATCTGGATCCTCAGGACATAAGTTGCGGCAACTGGGGCGTCTGGGCTTTCAGAGGGAAGAGGTATGTGATTGCATGATGAGTGGACTGATCAAGTTGCTGACTGAAATGACAGATACGAAGCAACTCGTCGAGATGCATACCGCCCGTGAGAGAACTCCAGTTCGAATTGTACGATACTAGTACCGAACCTTGGTCAGTGCTTTTCCTTGTAGTTAGATGTCCATAACTGTTGCGGCGGGGGCGCTGCTGCAGGGTCAAGTGTGTATAAAGTCATAGCCCCGGTCCGTAGGATTTAGCATGGACATGGGTGGCCTTGGTGTGCTGTATGGCGAAGTTCTAGAAAAAGTGGCAGCAAGATGATAGGATAATACAGCGCAACATGATGTCAAAGACCCAGTGCAACACCTCATCAAAGAGAATATCGACGTATCGACGACATGTTGTCCAATTGCATCTCAGTGCCAGTTGTCGATACCTTGGGCTGTGCTTCAACCGAACAGTCCATCCACACTTTAGCGCGTGGCACTGCAAACTAATTGCTTCATGTTATCCAATTGCCATACCGATCAGTTCGATGGCTGAGAGAGCACCAGCATCCGCACCCTGTTTGTTTGTCGCGGCCTCATTAATGCAAATATCGCAGCCGTTATAAGCAGGTCATTTGGCAAGACCGGTCTCTGGTCGAATCTGCGGTCTATCCCAACGTCTAACGTCTGTCATATATCATACATCGTCTCGCCAACCACCGACGCAAGCATGAAGCTCTTCCTCTTGACGGCGCTGCTCTACCTGACATCCCTCGTGGCCGCCGTGCCCCCGTCGTCACATTTGGCCGAGGTGTTGGTACGCGACGTTTCGCCACATGAACAATACAATACGTTGGAAAGGCGCAAAGGGGGCGGGGGCGGTAAAGGAGGCGGCAGTGGCAGCAGTGGCAGCAGTGGGAGTGGTGGACGCACGAGCGGCTCGGGAGGATCGAGCGGTTCAAGGCCAGCATCTTCGTATTCCTTCTCTCCCAGCTCCAACGTTGGAGGTCGAACGCGCGACGGCTCAGGCACACCGAAGACGTACGGAAACAGGTACGCGGGTGGCGCAGTGGTGCCCTACACAGCTGGCGGACGATCCCCGACGAGAGGGATTGCGCCGTACGCGCTGCCCATCGCAGGCCTCGCCTTTTTCCCCGGCCTCTGGCTCTACGGCTCCCTCTGGGCCTATCCCTATCCCATGTACTACCAATGGAACCACGACGGGCAGAATCGGACGAGCAATGTGACCTGTCTATGCCAACAGTATCAAGTCTGTGGCTGCGACCCTACCGATAACAGTACGTTTCTGGACCAGGTCGTCTCCAACGGCACCGGCCAGCCTGTGAACTCGAGCATCGTCCGCACCATCGACTACGGCAACGGCACCGCCGCGACCTACATCAACGGGTCTTTGGCAAACGGTACGACCGCTTCTGGCGGCACCGACCCCTCGAACGAGAGTGAGATCAGCGCCGGCGTGAGACTGGCTATAGACTATGGGGGATATTGGCTCATGGTTGCCATCGTGTCTACTGGCATATGCATGGTAGCTTGAGACTGTTTTTCTGCTTAAGCCTAGATACTCTGCTCCACAGCATACGTTGTTATTGACCTTTCGATTCCCATGTCTTGACTTTCATACACCTCTGCTTAACACCTGATCGTGCACGAGAAGGGGAACAGAAGAAAGTCGACTTCACTCGGATTCTTGGGCATCACTTGCACGGTACGTACAGCAAAGGCTTTTCATCGACAAGGCCCGGTCGCCTGCACAAGGGCTTCGCCCGATTCTTTAGACGAGTATTCAACCATCGGGCTGTCGGAGACCTTTCAAGGTTTACTTTTCAACCCGAGAGAGTATCCATGTATTACGAGTCCACCAGGAAGTGTATCTGCAGTTGAGAGAAAGGTACACTTAAGGGAGGAATGGATCGCTTGCTCAGAAATAGGTAGCAGTAGCTAGAAACGGGTATGAACTTGAGCCCTGCGTTTTCGTTCAATGCGATGTAGTTCTATTTGTAGGTGGATGTACAAGAATCTGGAAGCCACATTCATCCTTCAATTTCATCGCCTTGCTGGAATGCCTAAACAATGGTTAGTCGTCGCAGAGCCTCGGGGGAAGATTGTAACTCACTCGCACAGCCCCCGAACCTCCTAGCTCTCGATCCAACCCTCCCGGGTATTCCTTTGGCGTACTTGGTTTGCCTGGGTATGTCACCGACACGGCGTAGCTGAGACCCAATATCGCAGAGATGAAGCCTGCCCACAGCAGTAGACCTCGCGAAGGCGTCATATGGTTGTAATCTTCAAGAGCGAACATGCCCAAGACCTCATTGTCTTCATGAACGGGTTCACCGAAGTTGCGTCGTTCTTGCTTATCGTCCCAGTCTGCGTAGGGATCACGGTACTGTCGCTTGACCCGTGGCGGGTTGATATATCCTCCGTTCTTTTTGCCTGGGTCAGCTTGCATCGCGGACGCAGAGGAACAAGTCTCGTACCATCTCCGGGTCATCCACCTCTCCAACCGCCTTGAGACATGGCGCGGCCGAGAATTGAGCTCGAGGAATGTGAGGTTGTGGACGGGTCAGGGTGCGGGCGGATCTGGTGGCCGCAATCAAGGCTCGTCGAGAGAACATCTGGATGGCCATGGCTGGTTCGGAGCAGAAGGACTCCAATGAGCCAGTCGACGGGGGTGCAGCAGTCGAGATCAATTCATGCAGAGCGAGCCTGCAAACCTCCGTCGCAGCTTGACGTTGATGATGTGAAGTGAAGTGGTCCAAGCTGGGCTTTGATTGGGTTGTGGGAGGCAGCTCTGCAGTTTGCAGGGCGGGCTTAGGAGGCGTGCATCCTACCGTACGCTACCGCTACCGCGAAGTGGGCGCCCGTTCCTGCGCTTCTTCCATCTGCCACCTGATATTTTTGACAACAGGCTGAACTTCATATCCACCTCAATCTCCCATCTGTGCCCTGGGCTGCTTCAAACTCCGTCAGGCAACCGTTCCCGCGTCTGTGAACATCCTGCCTCGCGAAAATCCCGTTATCACGCCGCGCTCGTCGACTATGCCCGTCGTCACTTGGCTGTTATTCTAAGGATCAATTTTGCCATGAAAGGCACCGCATCGCAAGTCGCGCCAAATGCCGAATACTCCCCCGACCGGCGAATCCCATCCCCATCCTCCAGAACAAGGCATGCTTCATCACAACACGCCCGCGTGGGACCTTCTCATTGACTGTTGTGCAGGAAATGTTGATAGCGGACCTCCGACCCCCGTTCGCCAGGTATCAGACCCGCTCGCCCATGATGACAACGAGGCGCCCCCGGCGAAGAAGCGGAAAGTTGCAGGTGCTGACCACAAGCCCTCCCCTCGAACCATCTCCCCGCCGTGGAAACGAGTCGTGGCGGAAGGGCCGGCATCGTTTGTGGAAAATGGGCGGCGGAGATCGGGCAGGACAAACATCATCCCTCTCTCCCTCCAGCCGCAGTCAAGTAGGAGGCAGACACGCGCCGCTTTCGAGAAGGTCAAGGAGGAGCGTGTAAAGCATGCGAAGCCATTGTACAATGCCTTGCCCAGAAAGCCCAAAGTCGAGGTCCAAACACCGCCGCCCGTCACCAAACGTGGCCCTGGCCGCCCTCCCAAGAACCGCAATCACGAGCACTTGCGGTCTGTCAAGGTGGAAGAGGCGCAAAGGAACGGCCGAGAGCCCAGTGTCCGCTCCAAGCCTCCAAGCACACCCCGGCCAAAGTCTCCCCGCCACCGCACCAGGCCTCGCGAACATCGAGAGAATCCCCCAAAAGTCAACGGCTATCACGAGGACAAAATCTACACGAATGGCGCAGTGAATGGCCACTCAGAAGACGACAGTGACCAGTCGGATACCTCTGACGGATTAGAATTACTGGCAGGAACAAGCACGCCGCCGACTCTACAGAAGGTCACCTTTCGCGTCCAGCTTCCCAAGCCATCGATTGCGACACCCGCCAACATCCCCCCAACGAGAAAATATGCTTCATTTAAGGAATTTTTAGAACTAGACGACTTGGAACCCAGGGCCGGCGAGGATACGTTGACGCCAGACCAGATCAAGGAGGAGGCAATCGCTCGACGAAGGGTACGGGAGGCGCAAAGGCGAGGCGGAGTTCTGGACCAGAGGCTTCTCAATGCCTTGCCCGACAAACAAAGTGAACCCAAGAAGCAGTTCGCCCATCTCGACCATCTTCTTGCGCATATATCCCACTTCAGGACCCTCCTCCGAGCAGAAAGTAGAGACCATAAGAAAAAGGCCGAATTACTCGCACATGAGGCGAAAAAATACGTCGAAGAGAAACGAAAGCGCAATAAAGTCAAGACTGCAGAAGAAATTGAGCAGGAGAAGCGAGATGCTACCATTGCTTCATATCGATTGGTAGTCAAGGACCTTGACAAGTTGTGGGCGGCGGTCAAAGCCGAGGTTGATGCGATACGACAGAAGGAATATGAAGATCAGCAGCAAGCCAAGATGAAGGGCCACCTTGCCCGCGTCTTAGATCGAACCGACCAGATGCTCAGCCGAGCTGTGGAGCAGGACGAGTTGCCCACGGACAGTGAAACGGACTTGTCTTCCAGTGATTCTGCTGGACCCGATTCCGAAGATAGCGAACAGATGTCAGAGAGCGAAAGCTCCTCCGACTCTGGGGCGGATGCCGATGATCTCGATGCACAAATGTCTGTCGAAGAGTTGAAGCGGAAGTATGGGAACTTGCCAGACATACCGACCGTGGAGAGTGAAGGCCCTGAGATCCACGCTGCAGAAGACGAAGGGGATCATACTACCCAGTCGGAAGAGGACTCGGACCCAGAGACTGAGATGGACAGTGAGTTTGATACGGACGGATCTGACGAAACTGAAGTCGACGACGAAGGCGGAGAAAGCGAAGATGACGATCCGCAAAGTGGACTCCTGTCATTGTTCTCGAAGAAGGAAATTGCAGACATGGCTCCGACCATTGACGAAGACGATACTTCTGAACATGAAGACCCTGACATCCAGAAGCCGCTGGTGGAAGTTCTCGAGGACCATCCCATGCAGGAGATCAGACCTCCCCAAGACACCAGTCCGTCGAGTCTAGATGCTCTTCAGCAAACTCAAGCAGGATCACCGCCGAACCTTGAGGATACGGTGATGGCCGATGCGTCAGCGGCTATCAACCGTCAAACAAGTCGCCCAGTGTCGGAAGACCCAGGTAGTATGGAACTCAGCGTACAGACTTCACCCCATACAACGGCAACGAAAGTCTCTGAACCCGAATCAGTCTCTTCAATAGACGCACATGCCGACTCTGTCCCGCCCACATCACCTCCCGAGGTCAAACAGTCGACCATCAAAACGCCCGTGCCGCGTCTCCTTCGGGGCACTCTTCGAGAGTATCAACATGAAGGCCTTGACTGGCTTGCGGATCTTTATGCTCATGGAAGGAACGGCATCCTTGCAGACGAAATGGGGCTGGGAAAAACCATTCAAAGCATTGCCCTCCTGGCACATCTGGCCGAAGTTTATGAGGTGTGGGGGCCGCATCTCATTGTGGTACCAACAAGCGTGATGTTGAACTGGGAGATGGAATTCAAAAAGTTCTTGCCTGGCTTCAAGATCCTGACCTACTATGGCAGCCTGGAAGAGAGAAAACAGAAGAGGCGGGGGTGGATGGCTGATGACAGTTTCAATGTCTGCATCACTTCGTACCAACTCGTTTTGCAAGATGCCAACTCCTTCAAGAGGCGAAGGTGGCATTGTATGATCCTCGATGAAGCTCACAACATCAAGAATTTCCGATCGGAAAGGTGGCAAACTATGATGACCTTCAACACCCGAGCTCGACTTCTTTTGACTGGGACGCCTCTTCAGAACAATCTGACGGAACTCTGGTCATTGTTATTCTTCCTCCACTACGGTCAGGAGAACCAGGGCGAGGATGATGCGTTCGCCGGCCTGAAAGAATGGTCCGAATGGTTCAAACGACCTGTAGAGTCCATTCTCGAACACGGCCGCCAGGTGCTCGATGCAGAAGACAAGGAGCAGGTTGCGAAGTTGCACAAAGTCATCCGGCCTTTCCTTCTCCGCCGGCTCAAGGCCGATGTCGAGAAGCAGATGCCACTCAAATACGAACACGTCGAGTTGTGCCGATTGTCCAAGCGTCAACGACAACTGTACGACGGCTTCATGGCGCGAGCATCGACGAGAGAAACGCTTTCGTCCGGCAATTACCTCTCCATCATCAACGCTTTAATGCAACTTCGAAAGGTGTGCAATCACCCCGATCTCTTCGAGACTCGCCCCATCAATACCTCGTACGCGATGCCGAAATCTGTTGTGGCGGATTTTGAGATCAAAGATCTGCTGGTACGTCGAAGGTTGATGCGCGATGCTGCGAACAAGCTAGACCTGGATTTCCTCCAACTTGCCCCTATTTCAAAAGAGCGGATGTCAATGATCGAAGTCATCGAGACTGCTAAACGACACGCCTATCACCAACTCAAAGCTTTGCGAGAGTCGCAGCATCGCAGGGTCTCGCGGGATTCTGTGTGGCATGGCGAGAATCGCGCAGGAGTGCTGGGGTCGCTTGAGAATGTCGGAAGAAAGTCTCGAATCCAAGAACTGGATCGTACCATGTACTTTGAGGCCTATCGCCACCATCAGCATCCGATCTACGGCCGAGGCTTGCTTCAACAACTCACCATCGATACAAACTGCGCTCGGTTGTCAAGAGCGGCTCCGCACAAAGCCACGTCCATGGGGAGGAGCCAGGAGTCGCCAGCACCGTCTCGGAGTCTCATCCATTCGATCCAATCGAGGTCCGAACAGATGGAACCCTTCGTCCAGCAATTTGGTTGCATCACACCCGCCGTTGTCGCCACGGACCTCAGCACCGTCACGGTGACGGAAGCCGGAGCAGTCGCGATCAGGGAAGCACAAGCGGGCTGGAATCCAGACCCATTCCACCAGGCTCGAATGAAGCTGTCGATTGCTTTTCCCGACAAGCGCCTCCTGCAGTATGATTGCGGCAAGTTGCAGAGACTGGACAAGTTGTTGCGCCAGTTGCAAGCCGGTGGGCATCGAGCGCTCATCTTTACTCAGATGACCAAGGTTTTGGATATCTTGGAGCAGTTCTTGAATATTCATGGCCATCGATATCTGCGGTTGGACGGCGCGACCAAGATCGAACAGCGACAGATCCTGACGGATCGGTTCAACAACGATACGCGCATCCTGGCGTTCATCCTTTCGTCCAGGTCCGGCGGTCTGGGCATCAATTTGACCGGTGCTGACACGGTAATTTTCTACGATTTGGACTGGAACCCTGCCATGGACAAGCAATGTACCGACCGTGCTCATCGGATTGGCCAGACGCGGGACGTGCATATTTATCGGTTCGTGTCTGAACATACCATCGAGTCCAACATCCTCCGCAAGGCCAGCCAGAAACAACTCCTCGACGACGTGGTGATCCAAGAGGGAGACTTCACGACCGACTATATGAACAAGCTCACGTACCGGGATATGCTCGACGACCACACCGAGGAAGAAGATGCTGCCGGACTCGCAATGGACCGAGTTCTAGGGAATGACAATAGTAAGTTGGCCGTGCTGGAGCAGGCTGAGGATCAAGAAGACCGTGCTGCTGCAAAGGTCGCTGCGCGTGAAGTGCAACATGCGGATGACGGAGACTTCGAGGACAGGACAGCCAACGCCACGCCCCGGACCAATGAAGCCCAAACCCCCGGACCGTTTGGCGCGACGGAGACGGCGTTGGCTGAAGCACAGGTTGAAGGCTCCGGCTCCGGCTCCGGCTCCTCCGGCCATATGGATGATTATATGATACGCCTGCAGTCCTTCTTGATGCGGGACATACCACTGGGGCCTGGGAAGACGAAACGAAACAGAGGTAAACGACGGCGAGACGAGCATCGAGTCAGGAGAGCGCGATGAAGACACAGACACGCATCACATCTCCACCGCTTTTGCGCGGGGAAGAGCACTTCAAACTTCCAGTGGTTGCCTTTCAGAAGGATCCTGAGGCAGCGGCTGATATGTAACTTGTTATATCTGTACTGTATAATTAGACCGGCTATGTCTGCATGGACCGATGGGTAGACCTTTCTCTTCCCGTGTAGTGTTGTACCTATGTCTTGTTACTATATCTTTCACCTGTATAGACACCTGCGTAGCTTCTGACTCTTGACGGACGGGGTTGGCGGGTTTATTTTTACTGACTGTCCTGACCGCTCTCCCACTCACTCACTGCGGGGCCGCCGTGGACAGCCCAGCCCGCCAGCTTGAAGATGCAGAAAGAGAGAGAGAGAGGGCTTAGGAGGCCCGTCCATTCCTTCCCCCGAGGCTGGACTCTGTACGGGCACGAATGCCTATGTCGATGCCGATGCCTATGCCGATGCCGATGCTGATGCCGTCGATCAATCATATCGGATCAGATCAACATAGGCATGAGCCGGGCCTAAGCCTTATTCCAGCATCTACTCGTCTATTCCCAGCTCTTTCAGGATCTTCTGGTTGTGCTCTCCCACGTCGGGCACCTTGTCCATCCTGGGACGCAGGCCGTCGGGATGGGCGTCGTCGACGGGGGCGAAGCCGGGCGGCAACAAGGCGGGCACGAAGCCCTTGGAGGTCTCGACCTCGGTCCAGCGGCGGCGGGCTCGAAGCTGCGGGTGGTTCCACACGCCGTCCATGGTGTTGACGGCGGCATTGGCGATGGAGGCTTCGTCGAGCTTGGCCACGGCCTCGGGCACCGAGTATTGGGCGAGGGCGGCGCAGATGAGGCGGCGGAGCTCGTCGCGGTGCTGGACGCGCAGCGAGTTGTTGGCGAAGCGCGGGTCCAGGGCCAGGCCGGGGTCCTGGAGCACGACGGCGCAGAACTTGGCCCACTCGCGCTCGTTCTGGATGCCGAGCATGACGGAGCCGCCGTCGCCCGTGTCGAACGGGCCATAGGGGTAGATGGCGGCGTGCGAGGCGCCGGTCGGCGTCGGCCCAGGCGCGCCCTTGTACGTGTAGTACAGCGGGAAGCTCATCCACTCGACCATGCTTTCGAGCAGCGAGATGTCCAGCCGACTGCCCCGGCCGGTCTTCTGCCGCAGAAGCAACGCCGCCAGGATGTTGCTGTACGCGTACATGCCGGCCGCGATGTCGGCGATCGAGATGCCCACCTTGGCCGGCTCTGTCTTGGTGCCGGTGACGGAGAGCATGCCGGCTTCGGCTTGCACCAGGAGGTCGTATGCCTTCTTCTGGCTGTACGGCCCGTCCTGGCCGTATCCCGAGATGTCGCACACGATCAAAGACGGGTGGGCGTCTTTGAGTTGGTCATACGACAGTCCCAGCCGCGCGGTGGCTCCGGGCGCCAGGTTTTGCACCAGCACATCGGCACGGTCGAGGAGTTTGTTCAGGATGTCGCGGTCCTTGGCCGCCTTCAGATCCAGCGCCAGGCTTTCCTTCGATCGGTTGGTCCAGACAAAATGCGAGGCAAGTCCGTCGACACGAGTGTCGTAGTCCCGTGCAAAGTCCCCCACCCCCGGCCGCTCGATCTTGATCACTCGCGCACCCTGGTCTGCAAGTTGTCGAGTGCAGAATGGAGCCGCAATGGCTTGTTCGATGCTGACGACCGTGATGCCGTCCAGTGGTCGCGGCGAGGGCGCGGTTGCGGCGGCGTTGCCTGGGGAAGACCCTTGGGTCGATTTCAAATTCGTCGTGGACGACGATGCATGGCGGCGGCATTGGAAGCCGACGGTCTTCGCATAGGCTGGTAGTCTAAGTCCATGTTGAGGCCTGAGCCTACAGGGTCGCGAGGGCTTCTGGGCCCGCAGGCCGAGGCCGTTGGCTCGGTGCAAGACGTTGCCTACTGTCGTCCTCATGGCTCGGAGACGGAGAGGACAACTGGGCTGCCTGAGATGGCCTGCACTGTAGAACGCGGCCGAACAGTGTGCGAGGAGGAAGCGAGTGTGAGTGCCAGCCTCGGCGCGCACAACCAAGGTCCTGAATATGACTGACAACGCAAAGGAGGACAGAGGACGTTCCGGTCGTGCTCTCGGAGTCGCCCGGCGGCGTCTGGCGCGCAAACGGAGGCAGCTGTGATAGGGGGAGAGCAAGACATCTCGGAACCTGGACGATCTCGGAAGGAAACACTGTTGCTAAGATTTGGAGAAGCCGCGGCTGCCCGGCTTCTCGAAATGCGGCACCGTGAGGAGTCGCGTCTCGGAAGATGGTCAGTTGCGGGGTCCAGGCTCCGGTATCGGCATTGCACCGGCGCCGTGGCAACTCTCTCAGGGGGACGGGACGACAACAGTGCGTCTCGGGGGCCTCCTTAGTCCCGAAGCCCGTCGACACTATTCTACAGAGTACAGACGCACCAGTCCAAATCATATTGTTGTTATGCACTACATGGCCCAGGCAGACACACACCTGTATCGCCGGATGGCGGCCTCGCAGCCGAGCCTAGATTTTGTCCACCACGTTCTCCCCCGTGGCCTCCCCAGGCATCTTGAACACGACCTTGAGGACCTTTCGGGCTTCAAAGTCTTTGTACGCCTGAGGTGCATCTTCCAAGGACATGGTCTTGCCGCACAGGAAGGCCACTTTCTTTTGCTCCTTGACCAAGATGGCCAGCGCTTCCTCGAAAATGCTCCGGACCGGGCAGCGACCAAACGCCATGGTCACATTCTTTCCGTAGCACAGCAGACCGTTGAGAGGGAGCTGTTCCGTGTGCACGCCGATCGAGCTGATCTTACCCCAGGGACGAATCATGTCGAACGCCAGCATGAATGCGTCTGCGTGTCCCACGACCTCAAGCACCACGTCCGCGCCTCGGCCTCCGCTGGCCGCTTTGATCTTCTCGACCGGATTGTCGTTGAGATTGATCGGGATGGCCCCAATCTTCTCTGCCTCGGCCAACCGCTCGGGCACGGAGTCGATGGCGTACACCGTCTTGACCATGGTGAGGGCGCAGGTGATGGCACAGATGCCGACAGGCCCGCAGCCGATCACGACCGTGGTGAACTCGTCGCGATCCCGCTGCGGAAGGTCCTTCAGGAACCGGGACGCAGCAAAGTAACCGGTCGGGAAAATATCCGCCATCAGCACGAGCATCTCTTCGGGGATTCCTGAGGCTGCAGCGTCAGCTCGACGTAGAACCTGTCGTCCGGTCAAGTCGGCCTACCGGTTGGTGCCTTGACACAGGTCGTTGCCGCCAAGGGCACTCTGACATACTCGGCCTGTCCGCCATCGACCGTATTTGCCGGGACCGAGTTGCCAAAGAGTTCGCCCTTTGCGCAGCGGCTGGCTTGGCCGCGCACACAGTAGTAACATTCCTGGCAGGCCGTGTAGAAAGGCACGACGACCTTGTCGCCCACCTGGAAGTTCTGGACGGCATCCCCCTTTTCGACAATGCTCCCCACGAATTCATGGCCGCAGATAAAGTTCGGCGGGCATTTGAGGTGGCCGCGGTAGAAGTGTAAATCAGAGCCCTGAACGACAAGGCGTCAGTCAACCCACGGTCGACGCGGCGGTTGGTGGGGCCATCTACTCACACAAAGGGCGGTCGAAGACACCTTGAGGATGGCGTCGGTGGGCTGCTGGATCTTGGGAGTCGGTCTGTCCTCGACGGCAACCTAGAGGTAAAAAGACACATGGTCAACCCTGCCCCTGTCCCTGTCCCTGTCCCTGTCCCTGTCCCTGCACGAGGGTGATTGAACAGATCGTACCTGGTAGTCACCCTTGAGGACGACTGCACGCATGGTGGCTGGAGGCATGGTGGCGGAGGTGATTAGAGGGGTTCAGAGGTGGTCAGAGACGGTCAGAGGTCGATCTGGCTATGGATGAGGAGCTCAGCTGCCAACGTGCTGCAACAGGGAGAAGCAGAATACGCCCGTCTGAGAGGTCGGGGCCTGCTTGACCCGATTATATACTGTCGGTCCGGTTCAGCTGCGCAGTCAGATCGTCGGGGTCCATCAACGACAGGCCATGCCGCGTTGGAGATACAGACGGAGGACAGGGCATGGGTATCCCTATCCAGTATCCAGTATCCAGTATCCATCCAGTGTGCGGCATCGGAAGAGGGGGGGGGGGGCACGCAGCGGCAGTGCAGGCACAGGAGCGACGAACTGAGTTGGTCTTCCCCGCCTCCAGACGGTCTGCAGGAGCCGCGGTTATTGTGCTTCGAGACGCGGGGAGCGAGGCTGAGTCTCACGTGCCAGCCCCAGCCTTAGCCTCAGCCTCGTCTCCCCCTTGGTGCCCCTGGCCATGTGCTGTCAGACCTCGATCTCATTTTACATGTACATGTACACAAGTCATCCCCTCCGGTTCAGCTGAACCAAGCCAGACGTTATCATACTCATACCAATCGTCACCCTTTACAGCAAATATGCCCTGATCCAGATCCAGATCCAGATCCTACAGTCGCGGAACCTCCGCCTACTCTCTTCGCTCGCCTGTTACTCCTCATAATCATCATACGCACTTCCGTCGTACCGTCTTCTCACAGCGATGCTTCCAGAGACGCTGCTCAAATCCACGCTCGGCCCATCTCCTTCAGCACCTCGTCGCCCATGTTGTTCGCCACTGGATTGTCTATCCCCGTATGCTGAAGCATAAAATAGAGCCTCTGGAGGCAAGTCTGTGGCCTCGTATGAGGTCTCGCTGGCCTGGCGGTTCCTCACTGGCTCTGGCTCTGGCTGACCGCTACTTGCATACCGCGCCTGTTGACTGGGCAGCAAAGCGCGCCCTGTTGATGAAGAGGTGACTTGATTATATGCTGCTGCTGCTGCACCGGCCGTTGATTGACGAGTCGGGTGCCGGGAGCTGGGAGACGTGACAAAATCAAAACTGGGCACCGACGCAGGAATCGAATTTCGAAAAGGGTTTCCTTGATCTTCATAGGGGCTCTCATCCTCCCGCTCGTTAGTCGACGTGGCGGAGAGCGGGATCGCAGAGGTCGGTGTGGCGGTCGCAGTGTAGCTAGTAGGGGTATTGTCATTGCTCGTGGTGGGAGAGTAATCGTCCGGATTGACCACTGCAAGCCTAGGAGGCCTGCCACGCGCAAGGTCAAGTTGGGACGCTTGCGGCGTGCGGTCGCCGAATGGTATTTCTGGGTCTGCGTTTGGATCGAAGAATTTCTCGTCGGTCATGTACGGATTGGTTCCATCGTCTGCATCGTCAAATTTGGCGGTCGGCATCTCCACGATGCCCTCCGGCAGAGTGTAAGGCCTGTCTCTCAGGACTACCCCAGCGTTGCTACTACTGCCCGAATTCCGTGAGGGGCCATCGTAAAGACCGGTGGGGTCGATCTGGTAGTGGTTGGGTGGCAAGCTGAACTGCAACTCAGGGACAATGCTGGATCGGTTGGAGTTCATGTCTGTCGGCGCATTGGCCTGATATTCCGAAGCAATCGACGCCCTGCTTTGCTCTTGCTGACTGAGACTCTTGCCCATCAGGCTCGTCCCTTTGCGTACCGCGGGAATCCCAGGATCCTGCGCGTCAGGGCCGTCAGCATCTCGAATTCCAAATTGAGCAATGGTGCGCAGCTTGCGGGTCACCCAAGATGCCAGGATCTTGCCCCTCTGCTTCTCGGCCAGGCGACTCCGAGGAAAGTCGCCGTCGCCCACAAAGGCGACAATGTCGACGATGATTTGGTGTTCGTGAAGCACGGCATTGACGATCACCGGCACAATGGAAGCGAGGTAGGCCTTCCGGAACACCTCGACCAAGACCACCACCATGCCCCCAGCCTGGAAAACAGCACAACCACCGGGCGTGATGTTGCGATGGCACTTCTCAATGCTGTTCTCGATGTCTATCGGGAAGTGATTGAGACCATTGACCTCAAAGGTCTCTCCAATACTACCCAATACAAACAGTATCTGCATCTCCACCGGCTGATTGCCCGGGCCAATTGGTCTCGTGATGTTGTGGAGGAAGCCTAGATCACCAGTCCGCACGTATCTGGCATTGGGATCCCCGCCAACGATCCGGCCATTGAATCGTTCTTCGTCAAAAAGCTGTTTCGACATGTAGAATGATTTCGCGCATGCCTCAGATTGCACCCAGATCTCGCCGAATTCGCCCACGTGGCACAGCTGGCAAGTCTCGGGGTTGACAATGGCGATGCGAGTCGACACAGGAACCATTCCGGAATCCTGCACGCATAGAGCCGTGGGCTCGGTGTCCGGGTCAACCGGGTAGACGAGGCCCCTTCGCAGAGCCCGCACGTCCAGCCACAGCTCGATTGGCTCAATAGCCATGTAGCTCCGAGATGCTATCATTGGATTAAGGACGTGGGAATAAATTGTGTTGATGGCAGTTCTTTCAAGCCCTGTTTGGGCAAAGTGCAGTCTCGCCTTGGAGAAAAGATCCAGCCGGGGCCGGCTCTCGGTGGCAATCATCAAATTCTTCAGCTCGTGCAGCGAGAACCCCTTGCCAGCAACGTGCCCCATGGCAAAGTCCAGCATTTGGCTAGTGGCGTAGGTGTCCTTGACCTTGTACCTAGACAAAGCCAGGAAAAGCGAGCCGGGATTTTGCGCGAAGTCCAGAGGCGAGATCAGGTAGGTGGTACTTCCATTGTACACGCCCATCACCACCGTGTGCAGAAACCCTATGCTGACGGTGCTTCTCACGCATGCAAGCACCGGCTTCGAGCTGGTCATCTGGCAAGTTTCTTTCTGAACCTTACACATTCCCAAGAGCGTATCATGTCCCAGTTGGACTGAAACTCGACGCTGGTCTGGCGTCCAGTATGTCCAAATAATGACAGGGTTGGATGGGGATATCCAAGAGCGGCTTATGGTAAGGCCCAAGTCCCGGCAACCGTGCGACTGTTTGGCCGGCTTTGCCGTGTTATACACACTGGGGATGTTGGTCTTGAGATACTGGGCAGATTGCTTCAGATGTTGCGAGACAATCTTCTGTTTGAAGAGGTGATCCACGTCCGTGTTGCAAAGCACAGCTTTGACACCCATGTCCGCCACTATGTGAAGAAAAGCCGGGGCATCTTCCGAGAGTCGGTTGGCATCCAACGGGGCAACCGGAATTGCAATTGCTCCAAGGACCATGCAGGCGTACACAGCGAACACATAGTCCTCGGAGTGAGTATACATCAAGATGAGGTGGTCGCTCGGTCTCACCTTGACCTTGTTCCGCAGGTACAAGGCCACCGCGGCGACTCGCAGGTCAAACTTTTTCCATGTGAGCCCTTTACCCTCTTTTCCTCGCCCATCGATTGTACAGTATGCGAGTTCATCCGCCTGCCGGGCCACTCGCCACTGCATCAAATCGAATATGTTCGTAAAATTGCTCAGGGCCGTGGAAGTACGATCATCGATGACTACTTCTCGGGGGTCGATCCCAGACCACTGTGTTTCTTGTCCATACAGCAGTTCCATCCGAGCCGCACTTGCATCTGGCGACCAGATCCCGCCGCTGATGTCCTCTCCGAAAGCTAGGTTTTGAACTGCTCGCTCAACACCGAACTTGACGTGGACACAGGGCAAAGACCCGTTGTCGAATTCCTTGCGGCAGAGCATATTGCCGATCTCTCTTCGGCCGTTCTTGGTCACTCTAGGCAAGATGCCGGGGGCCGTGATGAGGACGCAGTACACCCGAAGGTGGTGCTCCTGATACAGAACATCCATGGTTTTCTCCGCTAGGGAATCAAGGAGAGCAATATCAAGCTGTCTCGGAGGACCACCGGAGGATATTGGAGCCGTCGATGCAGATGGCGACTCGAGGAGGACGATGGGTAGATGCTCATCGTTCACAAAGCAATCGAAAGCAGAGCAGTCATGGATCTTGGGGACATTCTTCATGATGCTAAGGATGAGGTGTTGCACGAAAAAGTAGCGATGGTCCTGCACCGCCACGCCGTGTTCGACCCATTCGACCCTCTGTCTGAGTCGGTCCTCGTACAGTCCCAAGACATACACCTTGCCCTCAATGACACAGCCGAGCAAGCCAGTGCGGAGGAACTCAGGGTCGATTGCTGTCGGTGTTGGATCACCGTCCTTGAAGCAATAAGGCCGGGCATGAAATATGGTCTCGGTATGCTTGGGAAGGGCCCAGAACCCTCCTGACAGCGAGGGAGAGTCCACCCAGATTTCGCCGATAGAATGCGGTGAGCACAGAAGACCCGACTCCGGATCAACCACTGCCAGAGTAGCATCGGGGATGGGGTAGCCAAACGCTCCGCACCTTACGGCATTGGGGAATGAGCTGGCTTTCGCGCGTGCCTCGGATCCCATAGCCAGCACTACGATATCGTTGGTCTTGAGAGCCTCCTTGTCCAGGAGGACTTCTCCCAGGTCTTCGGTGGAACGCTCGATGGAAGGCTTGGTGGTGCCACCCCCAATGAGACTGCTGCCGAAGACAGATCTGGCGGCAGCGCTGTCTTCCTCCTTTTTCTCTGCGACTTGTTGATCATGATCCATTTCGTGCCTTAGAGAACAGCCCATTCGTTCTTCACCGCCTAGCCAGTCACGCATGCTGATGATCATGCCGCCATGCTCGGGCAGGCACAGCATTGGTGCAACAATTTCTCGGGCCCTGGGGTTGCGCAGTGGTTTCAGCCATCGGTCTGCCAGCAGCTCGTGGAATTCCGCGTCGACCGTCAATGTATCAATCATGCATAGCTTGACACTGCTAAAATTAGGTTCAAAATTGCGTTTGAAGTTCCTCGTCGTCATAGGATCCGTCTGATAGTTGTAGACCGCTCGCTTCAGGCCCGGATAGTCTGCCACCAGTAAAGTGGTCTTGTACTTGGTGATGAGGTTGGCATAGAGCCCGGCAGTTTCGATCGTTCTCTGATCGATGTAAATCACGGTGTGACCTCCGTAGATGTTCAACAGCACTCCCAAAATCATCCCTATACTCTGCCTGGGATCCAGATAGCTCAGCAGGATCTCCCCATGTCTGGAGCCGGTTATCAAGTGGCCCTGCTTGTCTCGCAAAGAGGGATTAAAGGTATCAGCTCGAGTGTTGCTCGTCGCCGAGGTAATCATCGCACTGAGGGTAGCCATCTGATGCATAATTGTTTTATGGCTCATGACGACGCCACGAAGATCGCCCGTGGGCGCAGTAGAAAATTCAATGAATGCAAGATCGGGTACCACCAGAGGAATTTCTTCGCCCTTTTTCTTGGGATGGTAGCTGCCGAACTCATTCGTCTTCCACCATTCGACCCCTCGTGGCCAGTTCAGTTTGGCTGCAGTGATATCCCGCTGGAAATTCTTGAGGTTGGCCTCCGTAGTCAGAGCCAGGTGGGCTTGTGTGGATGTTAGCACAACATTCAGTCTCGAATAATTCTTCAGGTCATTGATCGGTACGGCGACCACTCCGGCGATAAAGCAGCCAAGTAGTGCCACCGTGAACTCGATGATCTCGCTCTCCGTGTAAATCAAAGCGACGCGATCTCCTTTGTATAGACTGCTTTTGTCCCGGATGACCTGGGCAACCTTTTCCGCTCTACTGCACAGCTTCTCCCATGTTATGGAAACGATCTCTTTGCCTTTTTGATCCAGCACCCAATAAGCGGCCTGCTTGGGGTTCGTTTTTGCACGATGGCGAAGCACTGCCGCAATGTTCTCGAATCTAGACATCTCGATGTGCGAGTCATGAGGGTCACAGATGGCGAATGGAACCTCCCGGGGCTCCAGAGGCATCTGGTGGATTGCAGCGCCGCCCTCGAGCTCTCCGGCACCCAGGAAGGGAGGTGCCATTTGCGCTGTAGGAGAGGTCAGCTCAGTCTGAGAATATCGGTGAATGTCGCCGCCGTAGTTTTCCTGATGGTCTTCTCGTTGTTGACCTGCAAAATCCGAGAAGTAGCCCTGCTGGGAGTCGAGCATGGTGGAATTGCGCGTATCGGCACCAGCATAATTCTGTTGAAGGTCAGGATTGAAGGCATAATTATGGCTCATCAGAGTCTCCGTGCGCGACTGATCGTTCGCGGTCAGGAACGTTTCGTGTCGCTGGTCATATGAAACTCCCGGGGATGGTCCACGCTGTATACCTCCAGTTTCCCGCTCTTGAAATCTTTGGACATGGCCTAGTGAGGTGGAACTTCGTCTGGGGTCGTTCGGGTACTCGTCTCTAAGCGTCGAGGTTTGCCGGTTCATGCTGGGATACCCCTCGGTTATTGTTCCATTTCTTGTCTGTTCGCTCACCGGTCGACCGGTAAGAGCCGCGAGAGATGCTGCTCTGGAGGCGTCATTAGAGGCGGGATGATCGCTGTCGTCAGGAGAGTGTACGCGTAGTCCTCGTGACTGCGACGTCGGCAGCTGCTGTGGAGAGATGAACTGAGAAAGTATAAGGGTCCGTCGCTTTTCGTAGCCCTTTCTTGTGATGTCTCCTTCCTCGAACTCTTCGTCGAGCTGGCGCAAGGCTTCGTCAAGGTCAGGACTGAAGCCGGACATTTTTGCAAGACTTCATATGTGGCCGGCTCCCTGAAGGAAGTCCGACGCCAGAAATGCAGACAGCGAGACAATCTCAAAGCACCGAGACAGCAACCATAAAACTAACGGGGAAAGAAACAACAAAGCGAGCGACAGGGAGAGCCAACCTGAAGCGACTTTCAGTTCGTAGCAATCAACAGAGCAAGTCGGGGCGACCAGACCATGGGAAGTCGTTTGGCGCATGTGGGGACCGGGAAGCACTCAACGACTGAGGAGCGGCTTCCAAGGCGTTCCAGAGCTCGTGCGTAATACTGCCATTACATACCTATCATAAGATATCTTCTGCGCCTCAGTATAATTTAGTGAGGGATTTCGGCGGACAGGATTGCAAAAGACATTCGCAGGTACTAGCAGCAATTGTATATTACGGAAGATCTCAGACAATCTCCAGCTGGCCAGGTATTCGACGCTGATAGTCTCTGCTACCTATGTATTCAACTTTCCCAACACAACTTCCCGATCTATTCATATGACACAGTCGTTACCACGGTTGTACTCCATACTTGGCCAGGCTACCGCGTCATGCGTTAATAGATCCTTCAGTAAGAATCCATTAACTATACCCTCGGTTATGAGAATCGAAATCCCCCCGTACCACGATCTCCTTGCGACCGGATGGTGAAGCAGTTCGAGCCATGCAATAACCCGTCGGAGCAGAGAGGTTCCAGTAGTAGTGGAAGCTAGAGCCAACAATTACGCCCAGAGTGCATAGTGTTCAGTGAGGACGTTGGTAATTCCTGACGCAAGATCGCCAGCGCTCCCTCAGGGTAGATGCCGATACAACACATGAGCTGGGCCTTTAACCCCCACTGGATAGTGTAACGGGCAAACATGGTGCAGAAGGTGATATCGCTGGACCTGGAGTACCATATTCGCGGCCGTTGGCGCTTAGAAGCAATAAGTCGTCCACGAAGAAGAGCATGACGCCCTATTCCGATTGACTTTCCAGCAACGTATACACGGGAGCTTTGAGTTTGTCCCGACCTTTGAGGAAGGTAAGCTCGATGACAAAAGCGTAACCGAGTAATACTCCTCCACATTTTTCCACCAGAGTGCCGGCTGCTGAAGCCGACCCGCCAGTGGCGATAAGGTCGTCGACAACAAGAACTTTCTGGCCCGGCACGATCGCATCGCTCTGCATGGCGAAGGTATCCGTGCCGTATTCTTTCTCGAACTGCGCTGTTTCAATCTTGCCAGGAAGCTTGCCAGCTTTTCTGACCGGGACAAAACCGGCTCCAAGTCGTAAGGCGAGCGTCGGGCCAAAGAGGAAACCTCTTGCGTCCAGGCCAACGATCACATCGGGAGTATTCTGGGGGCCAAAGGCCTCAAGGATGAGTAGCTCGTACGCTCGGATAAGGTCTTGGTGGAGCGTGTGGGAAGAAAGGAGCGGGAGGATATCTTCGAACAAAATGCCTTTCTGTGCCAACGTTGTCAGTGGGTGACTGGTGCACATCTATATAGTGATGCTACCTTTGGAAAATCTGGATATATTCTTAGACCAGACTTCAGCCGGACTCTCAATTCCTGCAGCGCTTCAGAACCGGGGAGTTGGGAGGCTGGGAGGATTAGCAAGGCCCAAGAGTTCAAGCAACAAGGCTCAGCATACTGGAGGTGGTGGCATCGGACTCTGGTCTCGAGGCGCCATGGCTGTCAGAAGTATCTCCTGTGAGAGTCATGCTGAAAGAGAACAGACAGAGGAAAGACTCGGGAGAGGCTGCAATAAATATGGGACGAGAAAAAAAGATGACAACAAAGAACCGTTGCACAAGTACGAGAAGCGCAGGACGAATCAGTTGCGCATGCAAGGGCGCCCACAATTGGGGAGGGATCTGGTGGGAAGACGGTGCTGCTAGGGTGCGCCGAGTTCTGCCGCGCTATTCCAGAGCGAGTCGCTTGTGGTGTTTTGAGTGTCCAGCTGCTGCCCGTGGTCAACAGCGTGGTTGCATGGGTAAGTTACAAAGGGAGTCAAGTCAGCCTGCGCGACCCGGGAGAATTTCTCAGTAGTTTCGGTAGCTTTTCGCACTGACGTGATTGCGCCCATGTTCATGCCCATGCACGCGCAGCAAGTCAAGACTCTTTACTTTTTCTCCCACTCTACAGAGTACAGTCAGTATGTTAAGACAGCAGTGTGCCAGCACGAATCCCCCACCGCCCGTTGCCCGCTGCCCACCGCCCACCACTCGCCCAGATAGCCAAGGACGTCATGGCATGTGTTATTTGTTGATGATCACGATATCGGCCCCTGATCCGATGATAGATTCGAGAGGGTCTGAGATATAGCTACGCAGGAGCAGCAGAAGGATGCCCGCCTAGGGCGCCGCAAGCTAGAAGTGGGATGTCTCGCTCGATAAGTGAACAATCGCATGATAAAGCGGGCGTGGGGCGGCGTGCAACGGGCTGAGGTTCGTCCTTATTCGTATGGTCGGCTCAAGAGCTTGGGACTAGAGGCGCGAGGTTCTCATACCATCCGTTGTAGCCGTAGTAGCCGTAGTGGTAGCTAAAGGTGCGTTTGGGTGGGTTGGAGTCGTTAGGAGTGCCAGCAAAGAAACAAGTGATTCACCACTCTATCTCAGGTCTCCCGGAGGTAAGAGGAGGTCTGTCGTCCGGAAACAGGAGCTGGCCTTGGGCTTAGGAGGGCTAGGACGCACCTAGGACCTCAGGCTCAGGCTGTGGGAACCTACTGCCGAGCCAGCCTGGGTGCCCTGGCAGACCCTGCATCTCTCCATCCTAGCATGTGCATGCCACCGCACGTCAAACTACGACAGCAGCAATCAATAGTAATCCCCACGCACGATGGCGACTACGGAGAGAGCAGGAATCTCCTGCTGCCCAGTGCGGCGTCCTGTCACGTACCTCTCGTCTCTCGTCCCCCGCCGGCATCTATAGATGGATGCATAGATGGATGCAGCCTGCACGAGTGCGACTGCGTTCGATACGAGCGCCAACTCTCTATCCACACTGAGCCATTTACACCTGCACCTACGGGTCGTTGAGCGGAAAGGCATCACGGCGATCCTCTTCCGTCACCTTCGATCAAGCCATAGGCGCTGAAACGCCCGGCGGTAAGAGGACATGTTCTAGATTATATGGTGAGACAGACTGCATCTCGTCGATCAACTGCCATCCAACCTATGACAACTGCAGCTGTCTCGCCTCTCGAGTCTCGATTCTCGTCCATATCCGAAAGACCATGAGAACCTGCATGCGAAAGGCTAAGGCCCCTGTACGGCTCTCCGGCAGGGTGATGGAAAGTAGCCATCTGAAGTAGCGGTGACCACAATGCCAGTCAACAAGCCTGTTGCCACGAGACTACTGCAGTCCACGGCTGCCAGCTGCGACAGCATACTAATCCTAGGCCAAGTATCACAGAAGAGAAGGTTTCATAGGATTTCGGACGCAGTTATCAAATGAGTGCTCCCGCCAGCCACCGTCCAACTCAGACTCAGTTTATAGACCCGGTACCCGCCACACATTCCGTCGACTCTGATCAAGGTATCAGCATCCAGACTCGGCGGACTCGCTGCCGCCAGGCACTGATAAGACGTCGGCGTATTCCCGTCCCGAGTTTACTTCTGCCCGTCAACCACACTCTTCTTGACCGCCGTTCCAACCCGCAGCAGACCGGAGAATATGAGATCGTGTCTCGTGTTCAGCTCATCCTCCCTCAATGCTAAACTATTGAGAGACTTTGATGGCCTATAATGGTAGCTGTAGGGTGCGCGATGCCTTCATGAAGTAAAGTGCATTGCACATCGCTGCAGCCTAGCGACCAGCTCCTGAGGCAGCGATTGCTATACGAGCGAGCTTCTCTTCCGCTACGAAGACGGATGACCACGGAGGCTTGCAGGAAATACAACGTTCTATGTAATAATATGGCCGGAGTACGGATAACTTATATGTAATTAAATAATATCTAGATATCTTATTAGTACTCCATACGGATGTGGAACATGCCATTCCTGTACTTTGTCTCGGCTAAACATCGGACGAGCAACAAATTCCCCAAAAATAATTTCTCAAGTTTGAAGACTTCCAGGTCTTGTCTCATCGAGTCGACACCTGCGGCCGAGCTTCCATGATGATTCAACCTAGCTCAGCAGACGACTTCGTTCTGACCCTATCAGACAATGAAGCTCTGTCGTTGAGCGAGTCAGAAAGCGACGAGTTGCAGGCAACGGCACTTGCTACAGGCACGAAGCGAAAACGGGACGAACCTACGAAGACTGCAAAGCAAAACAAGAGGCAAAAATCTCAGTTGAACAAACAGTCAAAGCTTGAACATGTGCCGTCGGAATCGCTTTCCGATAGCGAAGGCGAACAGGGCGTCCAGGACGGTGCTATCGACCCGGATTTCGAGTTCGACTTTGGCGCAAGTGCAGTCTTGGAAGATCTAGAAGAATTTGACGGATGGGGCGAGAGCAAGACACCCAGAACGAGTGGCGATGGCAAGAAGAAGGGTGTGGACATTGATGAGATTATTGCTCGCCGTGCCGCGAAGAAACTCAAGCCTCAGGAAACTCGGAGTGCCGAGCAAGAACGGGACGACTCGGCCTCAGAGGACGGCTCTCTCGGGGACGACGATGACGATGAAGAAATTGACATACCGGACTTTGATGACGACGAGCTTCTCGCACCAGACACCTTTGGGGCGAATGTGGCCTCGGACGATGAGGGAGAAGACTCGGACAAGGAGGTCTCGGAAGAGGAAGCAAACCAAGATGAAGGTGCTTCCGACGATGACTCAGTCGCTTCACCGACTGCCCATCCTGATGACCTTGCCTCTGACCAGTCCGACGCCGATTCAGATACGTCGACCTCTGATCCAGAGGAGCAGGCGAAACGAGCCGCATTTTTCGCTCCTGAGGACAAGGAGGCGACAGCACTTAGTCAAGCTACAGCGTCATTCCAACAGTTCTCCTTGTCGAGACCGATTTTGAAAGCCCTAGCGGCACTCTCCTTCACTGCACCCACCCCTATTCAAGCCCGTGCCATTCCTGTCGCATTGCAGGGCTTGGACGTGGTTGGTTCCGCTGTGACGGGTTCTGGAAAGACTGCAGCCTTCTTACTTCCCATTCTTGAACGTCTCCTTTACCGTCCAAGGAAAGTTCCTACAACTCGAGTAGCCATTCTGATGCCAACGCGTGAACTGGCAGTTCAGTGTTATAACGTTGCCACCGCCCTCGCACGGTTCACGGATATTACATTTGCGCAGGTGGTTGGAGGCTTCTCCTTGCGAGAGCAGGAGGCAATTCTCAAGAAACGACCCGATGTGGTCATCGCTACGCCGGGCAGATTCATTGACCACATGCGCAACTCCGCCAGCTTTGCGGTGGAGAATATCGAAATCCTAGTGCTGGATGAAGCAGATCGCATGTTGGAAACTGGATTCGAAGATGAGCTGAATGAGATCTTGAAAACAATCCCAAAGGGCCGGCAAACCATGCTGTTCTCTGCAACTATGACCGACAGTGTTGACAAACTTGTCCGGGTCGGAATGAATCGACCGGTACGGCTTTCAGTGGATGCAAAGAAAAGCACAACGGCAGGCCTGGTGCAGGAGTTTGTTCGTCTGCGACCAGGCAGAGAGAGCACAAGGCTGGCGACCCTTTGCACATTGTGCAAAAACTTCTTTACCGAGCGTACCATAATTTTCTTCCGGCAGAAGAAAGAAGCCCACCGAGTCCGCATTGTTTTCGGACTGCTGGGCCTCAAGGCCGGTGAACTTCACGGGAGCATGACACAAGAGCAGCGTATCAGCGCGGTCAACGCGTTCCGCGAAGGCAAGACCACGCACCTCCTGGCGACGGATTTGGCAAGTCGAGGTCTGGATATCAAGAACGTCATGACGGTGGTGAATTATGAAGCGCCCCAATCCCACGAAATCTACGTCCATCGTGTTGGCCGTACAGCTCGTGCGGGTCGCTCTGGCCGGGCTTGCACCATCGCTGCGGAACCAGACCGGAAGGTCGTGAGAGCGGCAGTGAAGAGTGCAAGGCAGCAGGGTGCCAAGGTGGTATCTCGGGCGATGGATGTGACAGAGGTCGATGCCATGAAAGCACAGATAGAGGCAATGGAGTCCGAGATTGAGGATATTCTCAAGGAAGAAAAGGAGGAGAAACAGCTTGCCCAAGTTGAAGTACAGCTGACTCGCGGTGAGAATATTGTCAAGCACGAGGCTGAGATCTTGGCGCGGCCAAAGCGGACATGGTTCGAGACCGAAAAAGACAAACGCGAGGCCAGCGCCAGAGGCCTTTTGGAGTTGAATGGCCCCAACGGTGTCGTGAAAGTCAAGGGCGAAAAAAGAAAACTGAGTAACAAGGATAAGAAGCGGCTCGACGACAAGAGGGAGAGAGTGGAAGGAAAGATGTGGCGCAAGGGCAAGGGTAGCGAGACGGCAGCAAAGAAGGAGAGAATAGAGCGGAAAAGCGGAAAGTCCAAGAACAAAGTAAACTCCAAAGTGGGAGGAGGAAAACGGAAGAGATAGAAAGAGATCAATGCCAATGCCTGATTTCCTAGTTGTTCTATGTGCGATCGACCGCGGAAACGTGGAAACTGTTTTCGTACCGCGCTGAGCTGCTTACAGCTAAGAGGTGATTGCGATCTGAGATGACATTGAACAGTTGCGCGACGCGACGTCACCGATGCTCTGGTAGACGGATAGGAGCGACTTGCAAAGCGCCAGAGTCAGACTGTGCTGAGCTGGCCGGATACGACCTCCTGTGTGATGTTTCGACTGTCGGGGCTTACCCGTCAACGCCGACTTGTTTGTTGGTGCCCATATCAGCCGGACGGTCCAGCTTGACTCTGTTCCTCTACCGGCCAACTTGATTCGAGGCGGCTATCCATTGCTTGGAGCCGGCGATCATCACAGTTCCGTCCAGTCCGACGGGATGGCATTTGCATGTTCAAGTCCGGTTGCGAGGTCATGAGCTGATGGACTCGGTACTGAGTTCGAAGCTGTGTATTCAAGAATCCGGATGCCATTCGTCTCCGCTCACACCCCTGCAGGATGTTTATTTATGGCTTGCTGGTTTTAATTTGCCCTGCTTGATCAGATCATCCACCTTGGGTGGCAGAACAAGTCCGCTTCTATCATTTCGCTTGTAGAAATCAGCGACCACCTGAGCTGTCTTTGCTGGTTGATCTTCTTGGATGAAATGGCCTGCCTCTGGAAATACCTGAAGTTGATATTTACCTTGTCTAGATGTCAGCTACAACGATAGTTGGTCCAGCAATTTCCGTCATTTACACATACCTTGCATTTGTCCGATCATAAGTTCCTTATCAAGCCTATCTGTGCCGGCGAGAAGTAATAGTTTCCCTCCCCGGGACTCGAGGAACTTCTTGGACAGGCCAATGAACCAGCCTTCCCAGAAAGGCTTTGTTGAAGCCAGATCGGTGCGCCATAACCATTGATCGTGAGCCTTGGACTCTTGGAGAAGGGGCGGGACAGAAACCCTGGCCGATATAGTGTTTCGTATTGTGCGAGATTTGAGATGCCAGTCAATGCCGGAAGCAAGAGATGGGAAGGACTTTGGTCTTGTGGAGAGATAAGTGTCCATACTGCGTAAAGCGTCCATGGCCGAGCCTTCTACAACATCCAAGACGCCGTATGCCAGGAGAGCATTGCCCAAAAGTCGTTCATGAGCCACTTCGGTCACCACGGCGCCCCCAAGGCTGTGCCCGATGAGCACGATATCAGGCAAGGCCGTCCATTTCATCTCCGTCTTCACGGCGTTCACCACGAAAGCCACATCTGCAGCCAACGTCGTCAAGCTCAAGTCTTGGACGGAAAGGGCGACGCCTGTTGAATCCGTAGTAGTTGTCTGACCATGTCCCCTGGCATCCAATGATAAGACACCTGCATCAGGGATCAGCTTTAGGAACTCGGCAGTGAACGAGGCAAATGACAAGCCCGAAGATCCAGCGCCATGATGAGTAACAACCAAGGGTCCGGAAGACGTGGGTGGGTTCAGGTAGGCATGATGGACAGTGGTTTCTGAAGGCTTCTTCTGCGTGAGGAAGAGTTCCTGTGAAAAGAAATCTTCCCAAGGCAGTGGTGCTGAGCGGGACTTGAGGGCAGCGCTTAGGAATCTACGTCAGTCAAGATAGCAAACAGGATGGATCTCGAGTTGCCCTACCCTTTGGGCCTTTCGAACAGATTTCGACTGGGGGACGGGACGATGGTACCGGTGGACGAGGCGGAGGAAGCAGAGGACAAGGAGTCGTTTGGAGATGAGGGACGGATGTCGAGCGAGTCCTCCCGGGTAGCGTCTTGTTGTTCGTCGGGGATAGCAGGAGGTTCAGGAGGAAGACGAGATAGGTGGGCTCTTGCAAAAGACCTTTGAAAGTCGCTCATGACAGGGCCTTTGAGTCGGGTCGTGGGATAAGGGAAAGAGTAGAAGGGTTTCGAATGAGGCACGCTCCAAGGTAAGGCTGAAGATCACATTGCAGGATTGACAGCGGGTTGATGTTGTGGCGATGCACTGGCAGTGTGGTGGCTTGATCTGTCTGGATGGATGGGACGAGACGAGAGAGAGACGTGGCGGTACGTCTTGGTGTGGCGGATGGCGCAGGCATTGAATCAGACCTAAGGAACCCCCCACCACCTCCTAGGTGACCCCTAAGCTCCTAGGGACCAAGCACCTAGGCGCGGTGGTGGTGGGAGGTATCTCTAATTATGTCATGATCGCGTAGAACCACTGGCACGTGTATTCTATCTACCTACTACCTAAGGTAGTATGTAGACTGTAATAACCCCAATAGATATTGTTGCCCTTTGACACACCACCAGCCCTTTCACTTTGACGTGAGGGACACCCTCCCGTGGATGACCAGCTGGACACTTTGTTGCAACCAATTCCCCAGGATCATGCTGGGGATCCCATGTGAAGCTTTGCCAGCATCCCCGTCATGCGGTGATGGTGACACTCTCCCAAGCCGCTCGGGTCAAAGCCATTTTTCATCATGACGTCGGCTTTTCGCCTCCAACTGCCACACCACCTGCTTTCCGTCCCCGTCACCAAAACTGCTTCCAGTTGCTGCTCTTCCTTGGCCTCGTCCAGCAGATTCGGTGTCTTTAGTCTGGACATGAGCCCTCGCGTCCAGCTTGTTTGCCTCACATAATCCCAGCCGATATTCCCTCCTTCTGGTCTACCTCGAAATACTTCCATTCACCTCACAGCTGCATTTCTGCGCATCTATTTCTTCTGTATCACTGTTTCCTCGGTGTACTCAAGGCTCACCATGGTGTCACTCTGGGGAACTAGCAAGAACGAAGACGACGACCAGCAGTCAGAAGATGAGGCTGATCAAGGCGCAACCTCGTCTCGCAGCCAGCCTCCAAGACCGTCTGAAGATGTCGATGAACGGACCAGGTTGCTGCCTCGCCATGATCAGGGAGGTGGCTATCTAAGTCCCGATGATCCAGCTGTAAGTCTCGGAGTTGCGGTCTGCTCAGGTTTCAAGGCAGCTAACTGGCGCCCAGGTCTCGCCGTACAACCTGTGGAGCGTTCGAGCTCTACGATGGTTTGAAGTCCTCTTTCTCATGGTCACCTGCCTCTGGTGGGTGTTGCTCTTCATCTCCATCTTCGTCAGCCCTCCAAAGATGCATTCGAGAGGCTCCGGCTTTTTCGACGTCGCATACACCACCTTGACGATCGGAAACATCTTGACTGCGCTCCTCTTCTTCGCAACCCCTTCAGCTGCAATGAGTATCCTTAGCATGGCTATCTCTGTCCTTCTCCTCATCGACATGATCATTATTCTGGCAGTTCCTAGGATAAGAGTCGAAGAGGGTTGGATCGGGATCGCTTCTGTGATTTGGGCTGCCCTGATCGGCTTCTACAACGTCGTTACGAACAGAACAGTCAAATGGGGCAAAGCCGAGGAGGAGGAACGCCTGACTGGTCGCCAGGAGACGCGCCGTACCCTACGGGAATGGTGCGCTGTCTTTACGGCGACCTTCTTAATGGCTGTCTTTGTCGTCATTGCCGTCCTGCTCACTGCGACCCTCGTCCTACGTTCGCGAGATGCAACACTCCCAGCCCCGGGACAGCGATATTTCGTGGATGGCGACAAATATAAGGTCCATCTGGCATGTGTCGGCCAGCAGACGTTCACACCTGACGGCAAGGCCAACCCCACAGTTTTGCTTGAGGGAGGATACATGCCTGTCGAGTACAGCTTTCAGCCTTGGGTGCATCAGGCGTACGAGAACGGTACAATTGATCGCTACTGCTATTGGGACCGGCCAGGACTGGCATGGTCCGACAATGCACCCTCTCCACACTCTGCCGGAATGTCTGTGGACGCCCTTTCCGAGGCACTAGCGATTTCAGGGGAGGACGGCCCCTGGATTTTGGTCTCCGCCGGGATTGGCACCATTTATAGTCGAGTCTTCTCTGCCAGACATCCTCGGGCGATTGCAGGCATGATGTTTATCGACGGACTGCATGAGGACCTCCTTTACAAAGTCGCAAGCCCAGGGCGAGGATTTGTCTTATGGGGCCGTGGTATCATATCACCTCTTGGCCTCGACAGACTGGCCGGTGCTCTCTTCAAGGGGCGCACCAAAGAGGACCGTGTATACGGGAGATCATCATATCAAGGGGGCAAGTTCATCAAGAACAAGGTACAGGAGAATCTGGTGGCTGATTCATTGACGAAAAATGAAGTTTCCAGTGCCCGAACCATTCAGGACCCGAACGTGTCCTTGGTTGTCGTGACATCGGCGATCCATCTGCGGCGGGATAAGGATTGGGAGCGAAAGCAGGAGGATTTGACCAAAGTGACGGAGAATCTGGTGGCATGGGACATTGTGAAGGGAGCTCCGCCAGAGGAGATCTGGAAGTCACTGGAAGGAAGGCAGATATTGGAGAAGCGACTGGGTCAATTGTACAAAGGGACTTGAGGGATTGCGCTCTCGGGCAAACATGAAATGATGGGTTTAACTTAGCTATTCGAGATTGATATGTTTCAGCGAGCGACACATGGCGTTGGGGTGACTGAGGGTACGCGACGACAGCAGCACAGAATTGAATGGGGCATGTGGTACAAGCCTTTCCTGGAAGAGACACACATCTCTTGCGTTTCTTCTGATTTATGATGGAATCCTTGTACTCTGTAAAGCGACTCTTGAATACTAAAGCATAGTATGGCCACAAATCCGAATTCGTGGCGGCCCAGCGGCGACAGAGTTGTCAGGCACAAGCACTCACCATACGCTTTGGCCCAAAGTGGGAAGTGTCGCAGAGTGGCCATGACGCAACAGTCGGAGCCTGAGGGACTGGTGCTGTACAGTGTACGGATCAGTGTACGGATAACTTTCCACCGCCGATTTGTTAACTTCCTGCGTTGCAAGTGTGAGGACCGGGCAACCTTGCGTGACTGGGAACGAACGCGGTTTGACTACCTTACATTAAGTAGGTACCTAGACCTCGATGATATTTATCTCGTCCAGGGACCGACCATAGATTTTCCCAGGACTGTTGGCTGTCTTCAGCCACCCAACTATCGCCATCGCGCTCCTCTACGCTTAGCCACCAGCCTAACTACCATACCGATGCCTTTGCCTCCGCCAACTCGCCTTCAGCATACCTCCCAGTAGTCATCTCAGCTCTTCCTCCGCTTATCCGTTTCCTACGCACACATCGCCGTCTCCTCCAGGTCACCACCAAGATACGCCCGACATGTTGCTGAGGTTTGAATCCAAATGGGGACAGTTCCGGCTGAACGTCGAACCGACCCAAAAGTTCTCCTCTTTGACCAGCCAGGTGAGAGTGCTTCAAGGATAGGGAGAGCTCGTCAACTGATTGCAGTTGCAGATCTTGGACCACCTCCCCCCGGACACTGATGCCTCCTCTATAACTGTGAGCAACAAGCCCGTCGGCGCTAAGCCAGACCCTGAACGAGAACGTCGGCTCGTCGAGCTGCCAGGGGTGGAGCTGCGGCAGGTTGGTCTTAAACATGGCGACAAGTTATATCTTGGATTCTCCCAAGTGCAAAATCTCTCAAACGGGCACACAAACGGCGACGCACCCCCTGCGCCTCGACGGCTGAATGGAACAATTGCGCTACCCGATCCTCACGAACTCGTGGTTGCTCCTACGGTTACCTCTCCAACCTTGATCCGAAATCCTTGGGAGGTGGTTAAGCAGTCTCCTCTGGATGATCGGCTAGACAAGGCGGATGGGAAAATCGCGCGACCTAGAGACCCCCGGATGTGTCAACATGGCCCTAAAGGCATGTGTGACCATTGCCAGCCATTAGAGCCTTATGATAAGAAATATTTGGACGAAAAGAAGATCAAACACCTATCGTTCCACGCCTACCTGCGCAAGATCAACTCTGCTACCAATAAGCCAGAACTCAAAAGCTCCTATATGCCACCCCTCTCAGAACCATACTACCGTGTGAAAAAGGATTGTCCATCGGGTCATCCGCCGTGGCCGGAGGGGATTTGTACCAAGTGCCAGCCTAGCGCCATCACGCTTCAACCTCAAGCATTCAGAATGGTCGATCATGTCGAGTTTGCTTCGGCCGACATGGTGGACAAGTTGATCGATTTCTGGCGAAAGTCTGGCTGCCAGCGGCTTGGATTTTTGTACGGTCGATATGAAGAGTACACAGAGGTTCCACTAGGTATTAAAGCCGTGATTGAAGCCATTTACGAACCGCCTCAGATGTGTGAGGTTGACGGCCTCACAATATTAGACTGGGAAAATGAAAAAGAGGTCGATGAGGTGGCCAGATTGTGTGGCCTTGAGCCTGTGGGCGTTATTTTCACGGATCTGCTGACTCCCGAAGATGGGGAAGGACAAGCAGTTTGCAAACGACACATCGACTCATACTTCCTTTCCTCCCTGGAGATCGTGTTTGCAGCCCGTCTCCAGGCCAAATACCCGAAGCCTTCGAAGTGGAGCGACACGGGCCGATTCGGTTCAAACTTTGTCACCTGCGTCGTTACTGGCGATGCGGACCAGAGCATAACCATCAATGCCTATCAAGCCTCCAATGCCGCGGTCGAAATGGCCCGTGCGGACATTGTAGAGCCCTCAGCAGAACCCTCTCTGATGCTCGTCCAGTCTGAGGAAGATGAAGCTGAGGGTAGAAGGACTCGATATATCCCGGAAGTCTTCTATCGTCAGATCAATGAATATGGTGCCAATGTGCAAGAAAACGCGAAGCCAGCGTTCCCAGTGGAGTATTTGTTGGTGTCACTGACTGCTGGCATGCCTATCAACCCCAATCCTCTGTTCAAGACCAGCAAATTCCCCATCGAAAACCGAGAAGCTGTGGCAGAAGGGCAAGATCCACGGGATGTGGCCGAACAGCTCCGTTCGTCCCCATCTGTAGACGCTGTATCGGACTTCCATTTGCTCTGCTTCCTGCACGGCATGGGGGTGTTCAGCAAGGTAAGTGATACGCACCTTCGGGCTGTATCCCTCTAACATTGACCTAGGAGGAAGAACAGCTCCTCGGAAATGTGGCTACCAAGCGTGATCAGGTCGACGCCGTCCGACTGACCCACTCTTCCGGCTGGAGCACCCTGATGGCGATACTGGAATCATATGGTGAGCGGCCCTTGAAGCGCCCATGGCCTTTGGAATCGGAGGAAGATTGCAACCCTAGCAGCCCATCAGAAATCCTGGCTAAGCGATTCAAACAGGCGGCTAGCCTCGAGCGCTAGGAAGACAGCCCGGACGAGTCACCCACTTCGATGGCGGAACGATTACGACGTTGCATAGCGAACGACAGCTCACGAGTGCCGGGAAAGTGTTTGCATCAGGGAACAGCCAGGTTTGGGCCGTACAGAGGGGTCCAGAGCTGGGGCACCCATGTCTGGACATTCGGGGGCAGGACGTGAGTTGGGCGACTCAGGACCACAGTCACCTACAGTGATGGCGAGTTTGGAGTGATGTTTAAGGAATGAAAGCGTCCAGAGGCTTAGGCTTCTTCGGCATGGGATCGACGCTCAGCAACAAGGGGCGGTACAGTGCTGAGGGCTGCCTAGAACCTGATCGACAGAAACAAGCCCAGATGTAGTGATAAAATGGACAGACAGTATCACCCTGGGACGGTTGCTTCGGCCAATCAATGAATGGGTGATTCAGTAGGTGGTGGTGGTAGTAGTGGTGGTGGTAGTAGTGGTGGTGGTATGGCTCCTAATAAGAATTATAACGTTCTGGTCAATTATGCTAGTGTCTGGATGTAGGAGAAGTGGGAATTAATATCTATATACTCTACTGCGTAGATAGGCACCAGGATTGGTAGTCATATCTACGTTATTATCAAGGCTTTGCTAGGTTGTTGACCTACGACTCAACCCTCCTCTTCTTTTGCTGGTATTGCATTCTTTCGGCATGACATCCCTCTCTCCAGAGGACCAAGCAATCCGCCTCACATGCGCGACACACTTCCACCAGGCTCTATGGCTGCCGCAGACGGCAAACCGTGCGAAGCTCAGGGTCACATATTCAACCACGACGAATTTCGACAACGTCAGCCTGCCAGCCATTCTCTTCATCGGTCCAATGTTTGGCACGCGATGGATGGCTTTGCACTTTGACAAGCTGGCCAGAGACTGCGGTGTCAGGGTCATTTGTGTCGATCGGTATGCCCGAGAGGGTTCCTCTCTCCTCTCCTGAGATTGACTTTGGTTGAGCATAAACTAGACCCGCGTTCGGAGGCTCGACATCGGTGGCCATCGATCTTCGCATGCGCACCTGGCTGGAAACAGTCCCAGCTCTGCTACGACGACTGGACGTTGAGCATGTCGCCATGGTGACACACTCGGCTGGGACTCTGTACACGCTCAACACGTTATTCCACCACCGCTCCCTTCTAGACCCAAAGGCACCCTACGTCGCATTCTTGGGTTAGTGTTCTAATGTTGGATCATCCTTCCTCAAGGACGAGGCTGACAACGGTGATAGCGCCTTGGGTACCGACTGCCAACTCGGGCGCGACTCTGGCCACCCTCGCTGCCAAACTTCCGACCCCTCTGCTTGACTCCTGGGCCGGGCTCAACACCTTCATCAACACTAAGATCTTACCCAGCGCCTCATGGTCCGGAGGGATCATCTCGTCCTCAGCCGCGCTACTCTCCTCCTCAGCTGGCACAGATGTCCCCGGAGCAGAGGGGTCAACTTCCACCACTCCGTTCGAGCAATACGGGTTCGACGACGACACGGCTAATCTCATCAAGAAGTTGTCGTCAAAGTATCAGTTCGCAGAGAGCAACACGGGCGCGAACGAAGAAATCAAACTTTGCCTCCGGAGATGCAACGATGCTGACTGGGGAGAGGCGGCGGATTACTTGGGTTGCATCCGCAAGATAGCCGTCAACGAAGCAGCGCGTGGTCAGGGTGAGCCAAATGCGGCCAGGCTGAATGTCGAAGCATTCTTCGCTGGCTCGGATATCATGATCGCCAAGCGCGGACAGAAGTACTTTGAGCAATGCTGGCAAAGCGATGAGGTGAAGGAGAAGGTGAACTTTACTACTTCGACCTTTCCGGCGGCGGACCATGACTCCTTGCTCATTGATCAGAAGAAGGGTGCCCTGAAGGTTGTGTTCAAGAGGATTGCCCAACTGGGCAAAGAGCTCTAGACGTACGAGTACATTAAAAATGTCAAGTTAACCAGACAGAGGCAGGTGAGGAGGTTACAAGTCTGGTAGGACAACGTCAGTTGTTTTAGCCGAGCAGCATATGTACTACAGAGTACAGTACTCTGTACTCTGTACTCTCATACCATCTCCAGATGGCAGATGGTGCAACACCTCCAAGTGGTGTGAATGCGAGTGGCGTGGGCGGAGCAGACAACCTCCCAATCACGGGCGGGCGAGATGCTTCTAGAAGGCTTGATCGAAAACGCAGTCTCCCGGCAGAGCAATCGTTGGTCCGGATGTTCAGTGAGTTACGGTTTGGGGTCGGAGGAACCCTGTTGGCCTCAGGCCTAAGCCTCTGCTTAACTACAGTCACCTAACAGTAGGTATACATTAACTCCAGTATACTCCGTACATATATGTATGCTACCTACGTGCTCCGCCGAGTGTGGCCTGTCAAGCCGATCCAAGCGTCCGTGGCCTGGAACAGCCCTGGAGCGGGAAAGGGCGGGCTAAGGCTTACATACCTAGGCTGTCAATCTTGCACCTAACTTTAGGCTTAGGGGCCCCTCAGGCCTCTTGCTCCGCATTTCAAGGTTTGCCAGAAGCCCGTTAGCCTTCTATTCGGTCGATCCACCGCCCCTAAGCCTGCACTGCTTAACCAAGCTGAATGTCATTGGGGGCCAAGCCACCTCAGTGAGTACCAGGCAGTACTCGTAGTAGGGAGTAGTCAATACTACCTAGTACGTAGTTTGGTCGCTAAGCACGCTCGGCTCAAGGCCTAGAGAGCCTTTCTGCTTCCTCTCTCTGCTGCTCTGCTACTCTGTTACATACTGCTCTGCTACCACGACCACGACCACAACCACAACCACACTCACGTTCCTGCTCATTGTCCTGGCCTTCCTCAAGCTCACTCTTGTCGCGCCCTGCGCCATCCCATCCCATCCCATCCCATCCCATCCACTGCCTCTCTCATCACGCAGAGTCAAGTCGCAGTCCCTCCCGTCGTCATTCATCTCTGTCCATTGACGTGACGGCCGGCTGTGTCTCGTCAACCCTCCCAGCTCCCACAGGTCCCCTGCGACGTCTGCGACTACCCGGCGACTCGAAAGTCTACAGCTGCGGGCTGCCCTCCTTCCTCCTTCCTCATCCATTCTCCGAGTCCCACAATCCCAAGACTGCGCGCTCGGCCTATTTGTACATCTTGCTGGCTTGAACATTCTCGGGCTGTCGCAAGATCCCTAGGCAGCCGACGAAGAGACATCCGTAGCTGGTATCGATAAATCCAAGCTTCCTCGGACGAGACCGCCGTGGGCGCCATGCAGGCTTCCTAATCTAGCCTCAAACTCGATATCCTGCTGGTAGAGCTGTCGTTTGTCTCGAGTCGGCTGGTTGCGCCCCCGACCACAGCCATAGAGTTCAATCTGGCCACCCTCCGATCGCATTATGGGCTCGTAGACTCTCAAAAGCAGGGGTGTCTTTTCCTTTCATAAGCCTGCCCTTCTCAAGACCATGGATCCGGCTGCCTGTCGAGTGGTGTACATTGACGAGCGATTCGATACAGAAAGGTGGATTTCAAGGGAAGCGCTGTCTCCCGGTTCGTCGCACCGAAGAGGGTCGCAGTTTGACTTCTCAGACTTGCCCGCCGACCTCCAGAGCAATATCAGTGCCTTCCTCTCTGTCTTCAACCAAGGTGAGCCTGTTCGGCATTTCCCCGTCTTCGAGGCTGACCGAGCTTCCCAGTGTATGTGTGCACCTCTGGGCGGGCCTTCTCTGCCAAACTGTCCGAACTTCATGACCAAGTCAAAGTCGATTGCACACCCATCCTGGCTTGCTTCGATGTCGGATCCGAGGCGAAGCACGATCATCTAAAGCCCAATACCCGGTTCTCACCGTCGGCCGATTCCCCGCTGCCATCGCCCACCTTGCTCCGAAGGGAATTCACCTTTTCCTCCGAGTCCGATGAATCGTACGGTCTCCAACTTCTATCCCGAATTGCATCTGATCTCCAGGTCGATGAAGGAGTCAAACTGATTATCCCGGTCGCCATTGTTCAGCCCAGACGGAAAGATTCGCACGATCAGGCTCTGGATCGCGTCCGCCCAAGGGAAGTCTTGAGGGCTCCCTACAGTCCCGAGTCGGAGTCGGAGTCGGAAGCGATCGCGATCGATGACTCGTCGGACATCATTGATGCTCAACTGATGCTGCAGTGTCTTGATGCGGGAGCCCTTGACGTGGTGAGGAGTCCGCTGGACAAGGCAGGGATCATGGGCCTTACTGTCCATGCCTATCGGATCTACAAGGATGCGAAGAAGGAGCAGAAAGGGTTCATGGCGATGGTCCGGAGGACTCGAAAGCAATCCTGGGTCGGTATGGACGAAGAGAAGCCCTACGCCCACCTTAGAGAGGCCATGGTGAAGAAGCTACTGAAAGGCATATGTGAGCCGCAGAACGTCATTGAAGACTATCAACACCGTGACCTCTATGTGGAAGAGGCGCGGAAGGAGGTTATAGCCCAGGCTATTGCCAGCTGGGGCTTCTGTGGACACGACTTCACGGAAGATGAGTTGGTCTATGCTGGCTACTTCATGCTGGACCATGCCTTACAGGTGGATGCCGTTGAGAAGTGGCGCATGAGTCAGGGTAAGTTCTTCACTACACGCCATGATGGGTGTCTAACCTGCTTTTCAGCCGAACTGCTTCATTTCATGCAAGGATGTCGAGTCGCGTACAATTCTTTTGTCCTCTACCACAACTTCAGACATGCTGTGGATGTCCTGCAATCGGTCTTCCACTTTCTCGTCCAAGTCGGGGCCCTCCCCCCGTACCCTGCTGGCGCGAAACCACCTCCCTTTGCAGGCAAGACGTCACCCGTAGCCCGGCTACTGGGGCCATTCGAGGCCTTGACTTTACTTATTGCGGCTATTGGACACGATGTCGGCCACCCTGGAGTCAACAATATGTTTCTGGTCAAGCTGAACGCTCCCCTTGCACAACTGTACAATGACCAGTCTGTGTTGGAGGCTTTTCACTGTGCCGCCTACTCTCAGATTCTTCGTCGTCATTGGCCCGCCGCATTCCAGGACAAAGCTCTCCGTAAACTCATGATCAGCACCATTCTCGCCACCGACATGGGCATCCATTCTGACTACATGCAGCAGCTGGGAAACTTGCAGGAAAAGATCCACGAGACCCAGGCCACTGACGGATGGGCCCCGAAGGACGTTGAGTGGGCACGGGCCTTGACCTGTGCGCTGTTGATCAAGTGCGCCGATATCAGCAACGTGGTAAGTTGTACCAACCCAGTCAGTGCAAGCAACCTCTGACGAGTACAGGCCCGGCCTTGGGCAGTCGCCGAAAAATGGACGTTCTTGCTTCAAGAGGAGTTTGCACACCAAGGACAAATGGAGCAAGCTGTTGGGATGGAGACAGCGCTCTTTGGCGGTCCCCCGGAACTGGGAAATATGTTAAAGCTGGCGAACGGCCAGATCGGCTTCATGACCATTTTTGCTCATCCACTCTTTTCCAACGTTGCTGACATAGTTCCCGCTATGCGCTTTGCCGCCGACGAGATTTTGACCAACAAAGGCGTGTGGATAACCCGGGCGGAACATGAAAAGAGAGTACAAGTGCTCCAGCAAGGCGTCCGGCCTGGTGAAGGTGGATCGGTATCTCCGAGGACCTTGAGCCCCATTGGCCGAAGGGGCACGGCAGATAATGGCAGAGATAGGCATGGCCAACTCACCTCCTCTCCTCTACGAGATCGAGCAGATTCCCCGGGGGAAGTTCAGAAGGCCAGCCATCCAACACGTGGCCCCAGAAATGGACATGCCACTCCTCTGGACGGTTCTCAACCATCGTCCTCACCGGTAGAGACGGAAACCACTCTAAGGCCTGATGATCCCGCAGCCCGCGGCACACCAATAACGACAGGGACCAACACAAACCGCACGCCGTTAGAGGTCTGGAGGGGTTCGTCGTCGACAGGAGCTGACACTGGACACCTCTCTCGAGATCACGGCTTTGGCAGCCCTCCCGGCGCTGAGAACAACGAGCCGACTACTACCAATACCCCTACACTGTCCTCGTCAGATGATCAAATGTCATCGGGAGTTGTTCAGGCTCTGCCAGACAACAGGAGGGACAACGCGACCTCAATGCGTGCGGGAAGTGAAGCCATCCCCGCAGAGGCTCTAAACACTGGAAAGGGCGAGGTCTCGGATGCTGAGGCGTTGGCAAAGTTTGATTTTGCAACCTCCAAGGAGGACGAGTCCGTGCGAACTTATGTTCCATTGCAACCACGGCCCGCAGACCACGCCAGTGCCAGTGCCAGTGCCAGTGCCCCTACAAGCGGCTTGGATCTTGAACGTGCCCAAAATCCTACCCCAGAGGAATTTCAGCAGACTAGATCCGCTCTGAGCGAACGTACTACAAGCACAACTTTGAGAGGTGGCATCGAGGAGATTGCCTTGACCCCAAGCCAGAGCACGGAGGCAACGAGCTACACATCAGAGAAAAGTGTAGATTTGGCACGGAATCAGGGTGATTTCCAAGCTACGCGCAATCGTGCCGCGAGCGCCCCAATCCGACAGTCCGCTCCGACAGAATTGAGCCCTAGTTTCAGCAAGGGGAGTAACAGTGCCGGCAGCGGCGAAAGCAGCAAAGTCGATGTGCATGCGACGATACTCAGCAACGGCGATATGGAGGAGGGCCGCCCGAGAGACCGAAAGGACATCAGCAAGACGATCGGCCGGCGGCGAAGCAGACTGAAACTAGGCTTGGCCTTTTGGAAAAGAAACCGGACTGAAAAGAATGTCGAGGAGGGAGATCGGCCTGGGAGTCCAGGTAGCTCATGCGGGTGACACTAACATGCTTGTGGCCCCAGGGGAGACCCTAAGGCCTGCTTGTTTGTGTCTTTGTTTGTCTTGTGGTCCAGCGTTATTGCCCATGGGTTACGTTATGTGGAGGTTTTCTTTTCGGAGGCAGTGTCATGGCATTTGGGTTTCGAGGAGTATCAAAATGTGGACGAATGGGGCCGGTGGCGTTTACGGCTTGTTGCGCCTGCAATATTGATGGTGTGCGCGGAGAGGGGGTTTCTTCTTCACAGCGGATTTAATCTTTTGCGCTTTGTCTGATTTACGATGGACCTGGGCCGGAGACTTCATGAAGCACGTCTATGGCAGTCTCCCGGGTTCCAGTCCAGGGTTCCAGTTCAGCAGGGTGACTGATCGCACACGGGCTGGGAGGTGAGGTCGGTTGAGATGACGGGACATAACGGCAACGGACAGATGCAGGGACATGTTGTGGAAGTGCTGTATACGACTATACGTTTCATGACGGAGAAGAAGGGACTCGGGCATATTCACGTCCAAGGAAACAACCAGCAGGGACCGTCGTTTGAGGTCCAACCCCCCTGAATAAACAAACACATTGACCACATATCTCTGACCAGTACGATGGAGGTTCATCAATCCATTCCAGCCTGACCAAGTAGACAAGAGACAAGTGGGTATACGCCGGGCCTGTCCAAATGAGACCCTCGCCAACATGAGCTCTGGAATTCCTATCCAAGAGCGTTGCGGAACTGCTTCAACAACCCATTCTCCGGTCCGCGCCAGGCCTTCTCGAGTGCACCCACAACCGAGCCTCGTTGAGCAGGGGTGGATGAAGCGCCTCCCTGTCGATGGACCTCGTCCGGCTCGTCTTGGGTCTTACCAGCGTCCCATTCCCTGCCCTCCCCCGGTTTCCGCCATTTTACATGGCGGATATCAAAGTCTCCATCCCCGATTCCTGGCCGCGCGGACGAGGCTTCCCATCGCTTGATTTCGTCCTCGTCGAATCCGGCCTCGCGCATGCGGTCTGTCTGTTTGGCTTTCCAGGCGCGACGATCTCGAAGCGCTTCGAGGGCGTTGTCCCAGTCGTCTCCTCCCCCTTGGCCTTCCGCATAGGATTTTTCTTCGGTGTCAACGTCGAGAGAGGGATCATAACTTGAGGAGAAGTGTGCGTCGATATTTGAACTCCGTGGGTTGCGGCTGAATCCGCGACCCCTCCTCGTGGTTCTATTGTCCCGTGGACGGGGGCCGATGAGCGACGGCAGCGGATCGGAGGACGCAGATGAACTGGACGAGCTACTCCGGCTTCGACGTTGGGTATGTTGGGAGCGATGTGTCTCGTCCTCATTATCAAGTCGCCTTTGCTCTGGACGGGCCGCAGAGTCTCGATGGGAGTGCCGGATTTTCCGATCTAGCCGCCCTCTGTCTTTGCCTTGTATCTCTCTGCTCCTTGATCTCAATCGAGACAATGGCCTGTTTGATGACTGGTGGTTGTGGGATCTTTTCTCCCGATCGTCTTTACCAGAGTAGTCATCGCTGTGTTTCTTCCTTGCCCTCCGTCGTGAGCGTTCATCCCCGCCCCCGTCGCGCTCGGGACTCCGACTTCTTCTATCACTCCTCTCCTTCTCGTTTCTAGTATATCTTACGTTCCTCTCGCCCTCTTCATCGTCACTCATATGCCTCTTGCCTTCACTGCCCCTCTCTCGATGCGGGTGACTATGACGTCTCCTCTGGCCAACAGTATCACGGTCCACCGTGTGCGAATCTTTGGCACCCCTCAAGTTCCTCAGACGGATTCTTGCCTCAAGTTCTTCCTTTTTCTTCAGGGCCGCATTGTGGTTGTCGGCTTCACGTACGAGTGTTTTGAGGAAGCGCGTGTTGGGTTTGGGAGCCGCATTGGCCGGTCTGACAGAGTGAAAGAGGTGGTCAGATCTGGTGCCACCATATGAATAAGAATAAGACTCGGAGCTCACCTCTTAGCCATCAAAGCATAGGTGCCCATCGAAGCATATCGAATCGAACTTTTGCGGGCGTCTTCGGTGAGCAACTTGGCGACATAGTCGTCGTTATCAAGATCTGCAGAGCTGGACATTTTGCAAGGGACGTTTTCCGTCTTCCTGATGTCAGCGGGTCATAATCATTTATTCGGCCATCCTCATTGACTTACCTTGCAGAGAAGGAAGAAGGACGAGGGAGGGTGGAGGGTGGAAGGCAGGAAGCGACGCTCGCGGGGTCGGCGAACCTGCCTGGTAGAGGAGGCCTGGGTTAAGGCCTGGGTTATATTAGTACTTCGTATAACGTGCATGATAAGCGAGTGAAACAGACAAGCGAGTGAAACACCTCAACCCGACCACCTCGACATTTTTGACCTACACGCAACCACAACGCATAGAAATGTTTGTAACTACTTAAATTCCTCTTCTTCAGACGAAGTAATCACTACTTGACAGGTTCTAGAGTTGTGTCCGACGTTGCCGCA